CAGGGGTAAGCGGATTTTGCCGGCATAATTTTTGGCATAATCAGGCCCTTTGTGAGAAGGAGCACAAAATGATTAATGACATCCGAAAAACAAGGTCAGATACCCAATGAGGCTGTTATATACACACCTGCTATTGAAGGACCATACATGTACATGTACATGTACATACATGTACATGTACATGTAGCGCATCTTGTCGATTGGGAATAATGTTTTAGCAGCCACTATAGGACATCTCCCAAAAGTTCAGCGTTTGCTTGTGAATTTGGTGTTCCTCTTGCATAATATTGTCTTGTACATGTACTTCCCGGGACAAAGCTTCCAGTCCACATCATGACAATGGTCTGAGTCTTTTTTTTCATGACGATTATCTGTTCTAATAATCTACGTGGAGATAAAAGTTTAATAATAGCAATGAAAAGTATGAATGCCGCAGACATCACCACGCAACATGACAATTTGTTCAAGGTTTGGTTTTGTGTGTTTCCAAAATCGATTTTCACGTTGCGATCATCAGTGGAAATACGCAACTAAAAAATCGATTTTGGAAACACACAAAACCAAACCTTGAACAAATTGTCATGTTGCGTGGTGATGTCTGCGGCATTCATACTTTTCATTGCTATTATTATCTGTTCTATTGGTCGTTTTGGTGAAGCATATAAAGCATAATTGGCTGTGTTCTCGAGCATCTTGCGTACCGTACTCACCCTCTTTTGCAAAACAAAATGGCATTGTATGCAGATTCCGTTTTCTTCATTCAACTTTTTCACGCACCTACCTAGGCTACCCTGTAAAAAACATACATACAAATACATGTATAGTCTCTGAGGATCGCCCAGGCAAATAATGTATACAACAACAACAACAACAACAACAACAACAACAACAACAACAACAACAACAACAACAACAACAACAACAACAACAACAGCAGCAGCAGCAGCAGGAACAACAACAACAACAACAACAACAACAACAACAACAACAACAACAACAACAACAACAACAACAACAACAACAACAACAACAACAACAACAACAACAACAACAACAACAACAACAACAACAACAACAACAACAACAACAACAACAACAACAACAACAACAGCATGCAGCAGCAGCAGCAGCAGCAGCAGCAGCAACAACAACAACAACAACAACAACACCAGCAGCAGCAGCAACAACAACAACAACAACAACAACAACAACAACAACAACAACAACAACAACAACAACAACAACAGCAGCAGCAGCAGCAGCAGCAGCAGCAGCAGCAGCAGCAGCAGCAGCAGCAGCAGCAACAACAACAACAACAACAACAACAACAACAACAACAACAACAACAACAACAACAACAACAACAACAACAACAACAACAACAACAACAACAACAACAACAACGCCAGTTACTAGTACCCAACTCCAGACGAGTTGACATTTCTTCGCGTTGTTCGTGTTGCAGCTACATTGTACAGTGTAGGTAGAAGGGACGGCGTGCAGCTTAGGCAGAGAGAAAAGCGAGTTCGCAAAACTCACAGAACACTCAGGGGACAATGGAGAAGGAGAGTGGTTCGACGAGGGGAAGTTGGATGAAATGAAAGAAACGTACTCGTAAACACTGACCAGACGCCACCCCTGTTCATGCTGTAGACCCGAGTAAATATAAGTACATGTACATAATAAGTTGGTCCTCTTCACTTCAGCAAAACCCCCTTCACCCATCCATAACCGCAACATGTACATGTACCATGGTACAGTACATGTATGTTGCAACCATCCACAAGATGGATCACTGAAGGCAAACCACACGCGCAGTAGCACTGACATAACCATGATAACGGTTCATTGAGAAATCCGGTACGGTGTAACCTTCCAGAGTCAATACCCAAGGGCCTTGCACGTGTGCTCCCCAGACGTCCGAGGTGGCCTCCTTATCCAGGGTCATCTACGTGTAAATGCCATGGTATTCCCGGACCCCACGTCCAAGCAGAGGTCAACCGAGAGCAAGTCTGCGATGATACCGAACACGTCTCGTCTAGACAAGGCCATACATGTACATGTACACGTACAATGAATCTACAGTCATGTACATGACATGTAGATGTACATGTAGATGATTGCACATAGTTCCAGGGAGGAGACTCCGAGAGTAGTAACAATGAAGTAACTTAGTAATAGTGAAGTACTAGTATTAGTTAGTTACATGATACACTCAGCAGCGTACCAGTAACTACATATCATGTAACTCCAGATGAGAGCCTCAACACCAACGCAGTGCTACTGCTCTGAGTGAGCTGAGGTACAGGAGATTTCGTGAAGATTCTCCTGAATCTCTTGCCGACGAGATCTTCGCACAAAGTAATTGTTCTCCGAACGGTATCATCGCAAACGGGACGTGATCATTATGAGAGTCTGCGAAGGAAACAGGAGTACTAGTAGATTGCGTACCCCGCTGGTTTTGCCTGGGTGTCCAAAACAACCAGTGGTCAACCTCGAAAACGTCACACTTCATGAGATGTTGAGTAGCAGTGAGCTGCGGTGTTTACCATGGTTTACCACAATCTCAAACACCTGGTACTGTTCGACTTATAATATCTATAATTTTTTTATTAATACTCGAAGTAAGATGACGGCTACACCTTAGCTCAGTGGTTAGAGCATCGCTGGCCTCAAGCGAAGGTCCCTGGTTCGAATCCTGGTGGTGACAGTCAATTCTTTCTTCAGAAGTTTCCCGTTTGTGTCTTTCCCTCAAACCAGTGGATAATCATATTCAGCCTTACAAATCGACTGATTAGCGTAGGTTTTTGATCATCAAGTCACACTCAGCTGGATTCTGCTCAAATATTAATTCGTGATCTAGTAATAGCAATAGCGACTCAAGAGCTTGAGCAAAAACTGAGTCGTGCATCAGCATTGTCATTCCACGTGCGACATTTCTACCTCACCATGCACATGTATGTACATGTACATGCACAATGTACAAATTAAATTATCAACTCTAGTTTTTTGCATACGACTCCTGATGCTCCTGGCTTTCAGATAGTACCACTAACACAAAATTAATATGTTTTTTTTCCATTAAAGGTCGGTTTTCGCATCTGACGTCTCCAATGATTTACAAAACACGATCGCCTAGAATCCCTGGTGTGAAGACGCAAACGCTCGAATCAATCAAGTCAGTAAGTACTATACTGCCACTGCCGGTAGTCGCACTATTACTACTACTAGTACTAGCGCTGTGATTGTGACAGAAACGTGACCCAAGTGCCACTTTATCATTTTTTCGCACTGACGAGAATTCCTTGTTACCTTCTCACTACAGCATTTCCAGGGAATTCGGAAACAGCTTTTCGCCAGTGCGCTGCCGATATGCGTGATATTACTAGCCACGTGATGTTTCTGGGCATGTCCTGTCAATTTTTCATCGCATATGGACAGCCTAGCCGCCCCTACATCTAGCGCCAAATGTCTGCTGCACGAGGTGCAGACAGTCTGTTGTATTACACACCAGACGGGTCGTCCCTACGAGCCCTGCACAGACAAAGACCATAGTCTATAGTGCACTGATTATGAGTTCACCGTTCCGACCTGCGCATTTTTAGACAGTCCCGCGTGTCTCCGCGCAGTTCGCAGCTCCAGACGCTCGTTTTTAGAAAACGCCATCCAGAAATAGAGAAGTATTGCGAACATAGTAACTAAGTAAGTTCCAAGGAAAGTAACATACCTAGATTCGGACAGCAGTATCACGTCGTATGTATCACGTCGTATGTATCACGTCGTATGTATCACGTCGTATGTATCACGTCGTATGTATCACGTCGTATTCATCATGTCGTCGACTCCAGCAGCAGAGTGTTACGACTCAGCTGCCCAGTATCTGCGTTGCATGGGGGAAAGGCGAGGTTGTTAGCATGTCGTTTTAACATTTGAAACAAATATAAGCTCTCATCATGCTCATGGCGGATGGCTTGTAGGCTTTTTGTGTGTTTGTACTCACTTTGTAGGCATCATCTGCGCATGTACATGTATGTACATGTAGTTATGACCACGAAAAGACTTCGACGCCTGCCTAGGCTATAGTATTTAAATTTCGAGCTTGCCAACAATTATCACGAGAACTCGGCAAGTTCCTCTTTCACTAGTAGTAGTCGCAAGCGACAGTTTGGTGCCTGGACTCAGGAGATCTCTCGTTTATGTCGCACATACTAGTATCTGATGCGATTCACAACACTCAACAGGAGAGTAATTGAAACACCACCTACATTGTAGTACATGTACATGACTTTGTACAATACCTGCAGTTTCCTTAAAGTTCCTCTTTGTGTTATGCCGAGTTTTTCTCGTACTGTAGTTTGTCATGTGCAGACATGCAATCAGTCATTCAGTATATCACCAGTATTGTGTAAACTCTAGTTGGACAATCAAGTACTTGTCAGGAAGTTGGTGTCTGGCGCTACACATTATTTTGTCACAGCAGTTCTTGAGTGATGCGGAATGCAGCATGGTTACTGTTAGAATTGCTTCAGCCTAAATGAAAAAATATCATTGTCAATACATCATCACCACCTCATAAATCAACATTGCACTGTGAAGTAACGTGAGTTTGGAGAGGCTTTCGTCTGCAAAGCCACTGCGCTGGAACCGTGATAAACCCTGGCAGCTGCGCTGGCATGGTCCGATGAAAGGTCCGGAAATGAATAACCCCACTTTCGCGTGCACCGCACTACACGCGTACGCGTGGCTAGCTAGCTGTTTTGTGTTATGCTTGACAATCTGCAGCTTATCGTCGAGCTTGTACCTGTCATGCATGCTGACTCTAGACACCCCCCACGCGCACGCAAGCATGCAGCCCGCGAGCAGAGACTCGCCACCAAATGAATGAGGGGTTTCCCCAGTCATGCTGCTCGAGTGTTGCTGAAAAACTGATCTGCGCCTAGCGCCTGGCTTGTGCCGTGTGGTCATCGTGGTTGTAAGATCGGAGTAAAAAGGAACGACACGGAAGCTATCGACAGGTAGGCACAGTTTTACGCAGGAAAACTGACGTCTTCTCGGTCCATTCCGTGGCAGTAGCAGAATCAGCTAGTCCGTGAATGCCTGGTGTGCATACTGCAGTGCTCAGGCGCTGCTCGGCTTTCCTTCTCTGTTATCTCTCCGGAAAGCCAACGCGTCTGGAGAAATCCTCAGGGGCCGTAGGCATTTCACTATTTTAGTTACAGCATTTCGATATTCGCCGTCCGAACCAGTACGCCGCTGAAACTACATTCATCCCTCTAATCTTCATAATTTGTTTGCTGCTGTGGAGAATGGCATGTCTGTCTTGAAGAGGAAATATTTGTCGCAAAGGGAAGAGATTTGCTGGCTTGAACTGGACTGGAGAGAACGGAAGAGTGCCTGACGACCGGCGATGAAGGGCAGTCGAATCCCAGCGTTTGTGGCCGCTATTAGTATTGGCGCAGCGGTGCTCTCCTTAGTCCATGGATGTCATGGTACGCCTTTCTGCCAGTCACTGAACACTAAACTGCAGACTGCGTCGACAGGCTACCCTTGCCCATCTCCAGGTATGGTGCCACTGTTGTTGTTGGGTTGTTGTTTGGGACTGGCATGAAAAAATGAATTACCTGCGAGCGTAGAGGTCGCCGCGGCTGATTCAATCCTCATGCGCGGTCGCACATCTGACTGCGAAACCCCCCATGCCGCCATGGCACATCTCACCAGATCAACGCATCAGTCATCATGGTCATTTTCACTCAGTAGAGAAGAATCGAGCTCTACTCCCGGTACCGGCTAGAGGCGTGGGTTCCCACCGCTGTAATCATGGTGATGCTGTATGGTAATTTCTTGCCAGTGTCTCACTCCTAGCCCTAGGCCAGGCTGCACGTAAGACGAAGTCAGTGCAGTGCAGCCATGCGGGGCCGAAATATAAAAACAAACGTCCAAAATCCTATAATCGTCGTTCTTACATTCTACTCGTGTATGTCTATAAAATTGCTTATAACTAAATTAGTCTTCCATGTGACTGTATTTTAAAAAAACATCCAAAGAACTGAATTTTATTGGTTTTCAGTGGTTGCAGTTATTGTCAGTGCCTTACATGCAGTAACTGCTTTTGCCATGAACCGCAAACTCACTGTAGGATGCTGCTTGGAACAACGCAGCATGTTGGGCTTTCGTCCCCAACTCACTGTCGGTGTTCTGAACGTGCCCATTCGCCACACGTCCACCGTGCCCTCACGCCCGCGTTTCCCCTCCACTGCGCCGCTGTAATCATCCGTATGCGCGCACAGTGTGTGCCAGTGTCTGCTTCAGAGCCGGGTCAGCCGGGTCAGCGACCCGGTTGGGGGGGGGGGGGGGAGTACTTGTACCCGTTTGGAAAAGGAACACCGGGTCAGTTGGGACCCGGTTGGGAATATATATACAGTATACATCAGGGAGTCCTAAAAACATTTCAACTCCCTGATTAGATGTACACGCAGTAGCCGCACTTGAACGGACCCGGCTCTGACCCGTTTTCAAGGGTTGTGCCAGGTACAAGTACACGTGTGCCCGGTTGGTTTGAAATCCTGGAGCAGACGCCGTGTACACGTACAAGCAAATGGCGGAGGATTCCCACATGGAGATGATTCTGACGTTGAACATTTGTCCGCGTAAAAGAAAAGTTAATGCAAACTATTCCACTACCCACTGTCCGAGGCATGAAAAGAACTGTTGAGTTAAATCAAAAGGCCATGAAGATGTTGCTTCAGGGCAGTTGTACTTCTTGAAGAGAAAAAAAATGTGCGTGAAGGTCCAATGGCAGCTCAGTTCCTTGTAACGTCGCTCGAAGAGAATCGTTGAAAACCATCTCATGACACTGTTGCTGGATGTACACATGTAGCAGATAACATTCTGGCTTTGGTACTGTGAGCAGGAGGAGCGAGTTGCACAAGTTCCTGGAACTGGCAGAAACCATCAGCAGCCTTGTAAAGCTCTCACAGTACCAAAGATATATCTATGTGATGTCGCACTGCACCTGCACTCACTGTGACATCCAATGTTGGTGTGTGCCACATAGTAATTGTCTACTTGAACGATTACTGCTCAGAGCTTCTTGAGAAAAGCAATCACCGGTTGTATTGAGTCGCGGCATGTCCAGATGGAGCACTTACTTTTGTGTCACGGAATTTCTCCGGTTTTCAAAAATTATTAGTGCATGGTGCATAAAATAGGGTTGGTGTGGGGGGAATAGTAGGAGAAGGATTATTCAAAAGTATTATACAATCGTATCTCTCTTATCCTGACCAGGAAGTGACGGGCACTTCGGTCTACCGAGCACCCTGTGTGTGAGTTTTAGTGGAAATATTACTACTCGTTTGCCAATTTTTGTGAATATACATGAAGTCATATTCCTGATAACTGGCCCTTCGCCATTGAAACGTACTCGTGATTCTGAGTTGCTGACATTTCGAAGTTATGCGCAGTGCCCGGTCCCGGGCAACCAGAACAAGAGAGTTATGAATGGAAGTAGTTTGTTACGGCGCATATCTGAGGCATGCTCGGTGATCGGTGCTGTTTTTTGGCGCATGGCAATGCATCAAACAGGGGGATTGCCTTTCCTCCCAATCAGTGTACGAACTGCAGCCTATGGCAGATTCGATGGACACGTATATGTATTTCCTGATTAATGTCTATTATAATGAAGAAAGGTAAAGGACAAAATGTTACGAGTTATGACAAACTGTCCACCAACGTAACCAGATCTTATACAGTCAGTAAATGCGACAAAATGGCACAAAACTGACATATTGGCTCACCATCCGAGTTCAAATTTGCACACCTAATGTCCATTATAATTATTATATTATTATGATAATACTATCAGTATGTGCTTGTTTGCGTAGACATCAGAACGGCCTGTAGCTGTATCAAAGGGCATGCAAATCATGCATGCAAGCCAACCAAAAGTGCTTGCATAATTTCTAGTGCCTGAAGGCTGTATAGATTTGCTAAATATTTTGCCAGTACCCGTCTCCCTACTGGTACTGACATAGCTTAGCATGGCTGTGATACGATGCACGAGTTATGTATGTCTCCAGTCAGGCTTTCGTCAATTATGGTTCTTGATGCGTTTGTTGATGTGTCTGTTGATGTGTTTGTTCAATCAGGGAACATCGTAGTGATGAAGGCCGGTCCTGTTCCCGAGCCGCCGATGATCTCGCTGGATACCAATCTCTCGGACCTCACCCTGTGTCACTGCGCCGATGACTCCGGCAAGGCGCTACACTGCCAGTATCGCTGGGCACCGGCACACGACACAACTCCGGCGGACGGCGAACAGCCGTCGGTCACCGTCCAGTGGTGGAAAAATGGCCGACAGCTGGCCAGCGCCAATGCCACCGCGCTCTATCCGGCCGAATGCACGGAGAGTGCGCAGAGCAGCAGCCGCAGCAGCAGCAGCTGTGTCGATGACGCCGCCGGCTTCTATCAATGCAGACTGCTGGTCCGCCAGGGGACGCGCTCCGGTGTAATCTACAGCAACACGGCACACGTCACCACAGTCGGTAGGTGTCTTGGTACTCTTCAGCAGCATGCATGTACAGTGAAACCTGTCTAAGACGACCGCTCATGGGACATTCAAAAGGTGGTCTCTGCTACCAGGTGGTCTCCTTATCCAGGGTCATTTGACTGGAAATAGCATCCCTCGGTCCTGGTAGCAATGGTCTTCTGGAACAGGTGGTTGCCTTATCCGAGTGGTCGCCTTGACAGATTTTACTGTAGTTGACAGTGTGCACTGCCATACTTTTCAGAGTACACGCCGCACTTGAAACAGTCATCATTAATTCAACCAAAAAAAAACTCGATGCGCCATATACTCCGATGATCAAACTAACGGTGATAAAATAGGGCAGATGTCTGTATTCCGTGACAGAGAATGCGGGGGGCGCGGCCTATACTCGGGAAAATACGGTAGTTGTATTAATGTTGAACGGTCGCTGCTGTGATCATAGCTTAGCGGTACTGTAGGACCAGATATTTAACGTCGATTAAAGTTAACAATCTCCGGATTTTTTCAGGTTAGCGAGGTGAAATTCTAACGAATTCTGTCTGAAAACGGCAAATGACTGCACAGGTGCATATCGTTTTGCACATAACGACTTCAAAATGTTGAAGATTCTTTCAAATTCGTTAACTCGTTAGAATTAAAAGTTGGTTAACATTCCTTGTCTAACAGTAGTTTGTCACTGGCCATAAGCGAGGATGCCTGGTTTGATTCCTGGTGGTGACAGTCAGCTCTTTCTCCAGACTTTTCTTCCCCGTTTTCAACTCCCTCGGGCTTGCGAATGCTGTGTTAATGCATACACTTCTCTAGTATCCTGGTAGATCCCCGCGACTTGACTCCCAAATTGTACTGAACATGCCTGAGATGACTTCCCGATCCTTTCTGCTGCCCGTGCATGTCGTCATAGGGCAAGAAGACAAGATGTCGTGGCGTTGAATTTTCATTCTTAAAATTCTCCGTGCTCGTTTTGTGTAATACAGATACTCCCAATACCGTGTCAGCTGCCGTACAATCATCACCTTCATCGTGTGATTCCACCACTGCCAGCGTGCAATGTCGTATTACCGACTCTGCCGGGGAGGTTGTACCGATGGCGCAGCTACGGGGCATGGCTCTCACCTGGAAGCTCCGCAACAAGCAGCTGTGGGGACTGCAGTCGCCGTCTGTACAGTCAACGCTTGGCGTGATGACGCACTACAGCGTGTCACGAAAGACGATCGGCAATGTGACGGTCGAAGCGTCACCTGACGGCGTGCTGCTCTTCTCCGGCCCTGCGCTGCATGAGCTAAGCGACACAGCCTGCACTTGTCAGCTGGGCGATAGCACTACCAAGCTAGTCATTCTGAATTTCACTGCGACAGGTAAGTAGAGGATCTGTGATCCTGACAGTTCACAACCTCATCCTCTATGCTACATGCCATGTATCAACGTGCATAATGCTGGGTGCTCAATGACCGGTAAACCTTCTCAAGCCCATGTTTGAAGTTTGTGTGGACATGCTGTTCTGCACAATAACATTTCCTGCTTGTCAGATGTTTTTAAGCACCAGGTTAACATGTTGTGCTGCTCGGAAATATTTATATAGCCCATCGCCCAAGGGACACTGATCTGCTTTAAATTATGCATAAGTTGAACATAAAACAATGGGAGAAGAGGATGAGTGGTGTCCATGGTCTCCCTTCCCGTTCTTTTTCTTGTGTTGTGTTTGACTTCAGAACACTTGGAGCCGGCGTGTACACACCAATCTCCGCCGTCGTTTGCAGAGTCCCTGCCGGGTACTAGTCTGGCCGTCAACGTAGGAACTACTGCGGTGCTGCGCTGCTCGGCGCATGGCTTCAATCGGGTAATGTGGTATGTAGGTGAGACTCTGGTGCAGCGAAGTCTTGCCCAGGACATCTCCGGCGTGACAGCGTACCTTCATCCCGACAACACGCTCCAGCTGCTACCCCGCCGGCCCGACAGCGCCGGAACCAACGTGTCCTGCACCATTGTGAACACGCTGGGAATGCCGCTGGGCAAGATTTCCACGGCTACCGTCGTAGCACACGGTGAGACTTGTGTTTCCTGTGGAAAAGTCTGGGATGGTATCTTGATCATGACCCGTACTAAAAAACATTTCATGGTTCGCATCAGACTCGGCTAGAGGCTGAGTTTTCCGCATCCGTAGGAACGCCACCACCCTTCAAGGATCAAGGCGCAGATGCAGCTCCTAAAGCTGTACTAAGGCAGATATTAAAAGAAAAAGAAGAAGAAAAACCAAACTGTGCCAGTGTTCCCTGATTCACATCGAATCCACATGCGTGATCAATGTTCATTGTCGGATTTGATATACAAAGCCTTCCCCACACTGGTAGTTCATGCCAACCTACTGCGCATTAGTGCTCCGTCAGGAACAACGTGACGCATTTTCTCTATTCCCGTCTATCCCTGTTCCATTTATAAGTAGCGGGTAGCAACACCTTTGCTATAAGTTAGCTAGCAGATCACGCCTTGGACAGAATGTGCTCATACTGTGATTAAAACCAATGTCCACTGTAAGACAACTTTTTTTGCCCTTCTCTGTTAGTATGCAAATAAGCGACGTGGAGACTATAATTTAATGATTAAATTACTCTCTGTCAGTGTAAAAAAATAACGGACAGGCAAGCCTGCAAATAACAATCCTCGACCAGGTATGAGAAAGGTGCTGGTATTCCCGGGGTTGGAAGTATGCAGTCGAATAGTTACTAGGTCTGAAGATATTGTTGTTGTTCGGAAGCTGGTGTTATCCCCAAGGTAGTTATTCATGAGTTTGATGGTATGTTAGTCTTAGATTTCTCGGCAGATAGGCAGCTGCGGCCAACCACCCTTCAGTTTGTGTGCTCTTGCCACTGTTGCCTATGTGCACCAGCGTATGTGGAACGATAAGTAAATAGTGCGCCTGTACGTTGGATGATGTCACCTGTACGTTGGATGATGTCACCTGTACGTTGGATGATGTCACCTACAGTCCATTCATTGGAAACTCGCATCCTAACCTTTTGGTATCTCCCGCACATAGTTGTAGAGACTGAGAAAACAACAGTGCATTCTGCATTGTATGACCCGTGCAATTACTCCTTGCCACATTCAAGGCCAGAAAAGTCCAAGAACAGGGAAATTGAAATTCAGTCAGGTTTTACAAAATTGGGACAAGTATGCCATGGCAAAATGTATGGAGAAGCGGATCCTAAACCCAGATTTTGAGATTTCTAGTGGGTTTTCTTTATCCTCAATTCGTCCGAGATCGGACTTTCAAAAGCCAGCAGGACTGTTTCCGATGAATCGACTGTAGTCCAGCGCACTCTTACTGACCGGTGTCTTTCTTTTCTATTCTCCGTTAGCTCCACCATGGCTCACATCACCTGCACCACATCTTGACAAAGTTTCGCTCGCCACGTACGCGGAGCTCATCTGTCCGATTGACGTTGACCGCTCGTCGCCACCGGTCGCGATCACGTGGTACGAGTTCGGTGCCAACGGGACTGCACGTTCCCTGGACGGCTCGACGCTGACTGTCGTGAAGCCCGGCCTCTATCAATGCGTGGGGCGAAACAAGCTTGGCTCGCGGCAGCACATCTTTCTAGTGCAGGCCAAAGGTATGGAGAAAAAGCATTGCAAATATCATGGTTCTTTGCTCACATGACGGAGAAACACAAAAAAATAATGATCACAATATGCGAAGAATAACTACTGTGCAAAATTTAAACTCGGATAATGAGCCAGTAATAAATGTAAAAAAGAGAAGAAACACATGAGAACGAGTTATGCAGCAACTATCCACGAGTTTTGTGCCATAGTATCGCACTTTCTGACCGTTTATCATCTTGTTACAGTCGTGGATAGTTGCTGCATAACTCGTTCTCATGTGTTTCTTCTCTTTTTTACATTTATTACTGGCTCATCCGAGTTTAAATTTTTACTGTAAGTCTACAAATATTTGCCGCAAATTTATTTTTGGCTACTTCGACCTGATCATATTTGGCCGAAAATTTCTTGCAGCCGAAATTTTGTTTTGCAAGGTACAGTGTGACAGTGTATACAGGCAGCAGCAGTACAGGCCGAAAATGTGTTGTAGCCGAAATGTGTTTTAGCCCTGGGAGGCCGAAAATTTGAATCTGGGGCCGAAATTTGTCGACCTACAGTAGTTGCATGTGGCGGATTAAGGGCGGGTCATGCTGCATTTCCTTGTGTGCAGTATAGCCTTGAGGATGTATTGCTCGGGCTGTGCAGAGCCGAGCTGTTGTATTTATGTTAGTCGGGAGGCCAGGTTTGGCTACCGACGGTGTGTCCCGTTTTTTGGATCTTTGATCACTTTGCTGGTGGGCCTGATCCATTCGCCTCCCACCGCTTTAGGAGGTGCATTTGAGCCTTGATCCTTGCAGGGTGGTGGCGTTTCTGCTCTGCACATGTGGAAAACTCAGTGTAACCGATAGGGACCGGCGGATTCTGCTCGAAAAGCAGTGACATTGGCAGAACCATACAAACCTTATGGTGGGCAATTCCTCGAATTCTGCTCCATTTCTTTATCCACATACCAAACATGCATGAAACTTACCAGAAAAAGTACCGAATTCTGCCAGTTTTTCTGACGGCATAATCTGCCGGTGCCTAGTAACTGAGCCTCGCGCGAACTGTGAACTGTTTTGATAATAGTGAGGTTCTGCCTCACGGGAAAACATACCAAAGTACGTATGGAAACCTTGCCGCGGTACGGGATCAAGTTTCATACGGATTTGTTCATACCGTTTTCCGTGTGAAGCGCGCTTCACACGGACTAGTCTCCGTGTGAAAACTGAGCGGACAGGGTACATGTGGCGCGGCGGGGAGTTCGAGCATGCTACGCAGAGCAGAAGCGATGCAACGCACGAAAAATCCGTGTCAAACTTCACTGCAGTTGACACGGAGTTTGTTACGTATGTAACCCGTATACTCTCAGCACTCAAAGCACATACTTGTAGTTACGTAAGTTGTTATCATTCGTTCATTGTCTCACAAGGAGAAGAAGAAGACCAAGGCAGCGCGAGTATGCGCACAGCTATCCATGCATTCCTATGGTGTACTATCAAGTTTATGTGTGTACAAATTACGTCCATGCTACACGTAGTTCTGTGTAGCAGTACCTCTCTAGTGTGTGCCCTGGGTGTTTGAATACGGTGTGTTGTGCTGGTTGTTTTCCTCAGATCAGTCCCGCCGTGTTTTGGTGAGCGGCGAGACCAAAGACGGCACAGTGCTAGTTTTCCAGCCCGGATTCAACTTCTCCATTCGCATTGCACCGTTGAAGAAGCCGTGTTTCGAGTGTTCACCCTCGGATCATGTAGTGATATCCAACAGCACCGGAACGAAAATGTGCGTGTGCGGCTGTACCACGGACACGTGTTCCGTTGAAGGCAACGCGCACACTCTCGGGCTGCGCGGCATGCTAGGCCAGGGTACCCAGTGCCGCGCCAGCCTTGCAGTAGCACTGAACTCCATCTATGTCTGTCTCACGGAATGGAATCTGCCATCTATCCGGCTGACCTTTCCAGGTACGGGAACCTGGTTTTGTATTGTGTTGCCTTTCTGGCTCTAACTCGAGCTCCGATCATAAATTTTAATTTTAAAGAGTCTAGCGAGGTGATGGGACAGGAAATTACGAGTGCGACTAACAACAAACAACCCTGGGTATAACCACTCGCGAGTAACCGTCGACACAATTTTCAGAGCTGGTGAACAGTTGACTGCAAACGTTCGAACACACGAGTACTGACGAGTGGCGTATGGCGACAATTTTTACATGCACGATCGAGATTCGTTACTCACAAGGTTGTTTGCACTTGCGCGTGGGCAAACTGCTCAAACGTGTACACACCAATGTTAGATTTCACACCTGCCTACCGGGTAACGAACTTGGCCTACAGTGAAAGCGTCCGCATTAAAAAACACTGATAAGACCAACTTTCCCTTCTGAAGAACCAATATCCATAACTCTTACTGGATAGAGCAATATGTATTCGCTCGGTATAAAATATGGATAAGACAAACTCCCGCTATTGCAAATAAATGCCATCGGTACCCTTGGTGTTTGTTCTAAAGACGTTTGCCTGCCATTTCTGCTTTGAAATGTTTTCGCGTAGAGTGCGTGTTAGCACCCAACGCTCTGAGTGCCACTCGCAGCGGTGGGAACATCGCCGTCTCCATTGCCATTCCGTCGCAGAGCTGCGCGGCCGGCCTGGGCCTGGTCAGCGTGCTTGTGCGGGTTTGGCAGTGCAAGTACGCCAACTGCACCGTTCTGTACCCACCAGTGGTAAGATTATTCTTTTTTTCTTCTTTTTTTTAAAGATTAGGAAAGTAGACTACGGCATTTCCCCGATTTTAAGTCACATTCCATTTTTAGATCTGAGCCAAAAGGTTTCAATACATTCACATAAGTAATAGGTCACACTCGATTATAAGTTGCACCCCCTCCTTTGCCCTCCGCACCTTGACCGCCATGGAGGTATATCCGATTATAAAGCCAGTCTCAGTCATAAAGCCATGGGCTTCAAAAATGAAATGACATTTGAAGTGTGTTTTGTAAAAATAAAGTAATAAGTACTATACTAATAGACTTACAGCCCAGCAGGAAGGGTGAACAAGTAGATTTAGATTGAATTTCTGTGTGGACTTTGACTTTTATGGCATGGCGTAGTGGGTGAGTCATTTTGTATCTAAAAAAGCTATGAAAGCGGCGGTGTTTCGAATAGAAGGCCATGGCTTTTAACGGCACTGACACACGGTACATCCGGGGAATACAGTATATACATGTATAATATATTCCGGAGCATAAGTCGCACCCAGATGTTTTTGCCTTTAAATACATACATCCACCCTGTATGTCACCGTTCATTGACCAGCGCAGTATAAGCCGCATTGAACTATTTTTCGGTGAAGAAGACTGAGGAGGATGGTTTATTTTTGGAGAACAGAGTAGTTTCGCCTCCTTGTCATGTGACAGCGTTTGTGTAGAAAGTGATCATGGCATGTGGACAGTGGAACCAACATGGCCGACATCATGTGACCCACAGAGGCAGGAGTTGACTGTAATTGGAACCAACATGGCTGTCCCGTTTGATATCATGTGACTGATATGAAACCACTCTATAAGAATGGTCCTGCCAAGAACCGTTTTTTTTTTCAACGTACATGCACATCAGTGATATGGATACTACTGTATAAGCAGAAATATTCGTCTGGAATTTAATTTCGTCTTTTTCGTCCAAGGAGCTTTGGGACTAAATTAAATACCGGACTAATGTCGATTTGTCCAGCTTTTTAATACACTCTTGTGATCCATGGACGAAATTTTCAACCTGACGAACTCCCTTTTTTTTGGAGTTGGACGAAATTGTTGACCGACGAAATTTTCTGCTTGTACAGTAGTGACCGTTGACATGATCCACTCTCGTTTGTTCAACTAGTGTGTTTGGTTGTCTTGTCTTGTCGTACAGGACTTCACTGTCGCAACGCTGTCCGACGCCAGGGTTCATGAGCTGACCGTGTCCGCAGCAAGCATCTCAATGCTATTGAGCGCCGCGTCCTTGTCTGACCAGAACATGTACCTGCTGAATGCAATGGTCTACACACTCAAAGGAGTTTCAAGCCTGAAAACAACACTCATGCCACAGAGACCATGTAAGAGAGAAGAAAATCAGTGTCTGTTCAGTCCTGGATCTCACTGCCTTGTAGATGAATATGTACGGTGTGGTGTGCATATGCAAACGAAGAGTTCTTCAAAATGTTCAGCAATGAAGGATTCCCCTGCTACTTTCCAAGATTGTGCCAAGTACCAGCAACTCCGATTGTCAACGGTTGAAATGCAGGGATCCTCCACTTGTCTAAAATAACCAGACATGTGTGTGTGTGTGTGTGTGTGTGTGTGTGTGTGTGTGTGTGTGTGTGTGTGTATCTGTGTGTGTATGTGTGTGTGTGTGGTCGATTCTTCAGCCTTGCAAGCTGTTGAATGGTGCAATCCCAGCACAAGTTGCTATGACTTCTGCTGTAGCATCGCTATCATCGCCTCTGGCGATTGGCGTCAAAAGGAGAAAAAGTGTATGTGTGTGTGTGTGTGTGTGTGCGTGTGTGCGCGTGTGTGTATCTGTGTGTTTATCTGTGTGTACAAGACTCAAAAAGGAGAGTCCGCAGATTTGAGGTTTGCACCCTGTTTTCATGGATCCGGTGATGATAAGCTGACATAGCTAATCAAAGTGCTCTCTGTTTCATGAAGTAGCAGTTGTTTTTGTGTGCATGTGTATGAAGCCTCTTGTACAGTAAATCACTAAGAATGCAATTATGTGACTATGCTATGTCAGATCCACATGACCCGGTGAAGGATGTAAAAGCCAGCCGCATCACCACAAACTCCGCTCTATTAACTTGGACGGTATGTGCATTCGGATAGCGTTGCCATGTGCAGTGTTTGTCAGAAGGGTCTTGGAGTATCCTTCCTGCCCGGCATACTTGGACAATGTGTAGCTGTTGCGTTAGCAGTGCAGTGCAGAACTAGTCCTGTGTGGCACGGTCGGGACAGTTCTTGCCGGGTTAATGGCTTTTGAGTTTTGACCCAAGCCTAAATTGCCATGAAAATTATGCTGTCTTCAACCATCATGTTTGTAATATTATGTACGTATGGGAAATGCACTGACGAAATGCTGTGAACAATGTTATTATTACAAGACTATTCCAGAAAGATTACGGCGTAACCAGCTCCAAAGCTGCTAACAATCAATGTATTGGACTTTTCTCGGTTTTCATCACCCTCGTCGGATCGGACTAATCAAGGTGGATAACTGAAAAGGTGTAACGCCTAAAAGAAGTGCATGCTCTGCGACTTTATTTGTTGAAGGAATGCATGAATTGGGTTAGCACGTGTAGACTTTGGAGTGCATGATTTATGTTAGCACTTGTAGACTTTAACTCCGGTTTAATTCCTGTTTTGTGTGTTATACATGTAGATGCCGGCAAGTAGCAGTTGGCGAGGCTGGGGGATAGCCAACGTCAGCGTGGTTGTTCGCCTTACCTACGGTGCGCTGAGCAAGACGTGGTGTGCCGACGGCTGGAACACCGCCAGCCTGTCGTCTCTGCTGCCCGACAGCAAGTACCTGTTCCAGCTGGTCCTGGTCTCCAGCACCATCTGCCAGGGAGCAACACGCTTCGATGAAATCTACTGGCAGTCTGCTAGCAAGCAATCACTGCGTATGTGTTTTAATTAAAACTGAATATTCTTGAAGGTTGAAACAGTGAAAACAGCTGCCGTATTTTCCAGAGTACATGCCGCACTGGAGTATCCCCTGACCGGAGTACAAGCCACATCCCCATTTTTTTGCCACGAAATACAGACATCTACCCTAGTTAGCACTGTTAATTTGATCACCGTAGTATGAGCCGCACCCCCTTTTCGGGTGAATTTTGAGCGTTCAAAGTGCGACCTCTACTCTGGAGAATACGGTAGCTGTCCGGAGATAGCCGAGTAGATCTATTGATATGGACACGCGGCGGGCTATCTGAATCTGATTTTAATATTTGAAACTAGGATGTTGAGCCAATAATAAATGTAGAAAGGAAAAGGACATATGGATGCGAGTTAAGTTGCTGCACTTTCTCACTGTATATTGTATCTGGTTAGAGTGGTGGAGAGTTGCTCATTCCTGTTCTAGATCATAATCATAGTACGCCTCGTAGGCAACTGCACGGAAAATAAGGCGGCATCTGATTATCCGAATGACAAGCATATCTCAACCGTGGGCTGGAACCAAAAATAACCGTGTGATCCCATGCATATAGAACGCTAATTTGTACAACACTGTGTACGTTCATTCTCACCGTTATGTATTATTAGATACATTGCCTGTTCCTAGCGACACGAGCACGATGACCAGTGAATCAACATGGACAAGGACACCAAGTGGCACCAGTCCACCTAGCACTCAGGCAGCTAGCAGCAGTTTTGGTGAGCAGCTAAGCATACAGATTCGACCCACTGACCATTTAACTCTCGCTTTCACTCCCATAATTTCTCTTCTCTACCTCTCACTTTCTCTTTCTTTCTTTCTTTCTTTCTTTCTCTGTCTCTCAGTCTCTGTCTATGTCTGTCTATCTGTCTGTCTTTCTGAGTATGTCTCCGTCTGAGTGTGTGTGTGTGTGTCTCTCTCTCTCTCTCTTTTGCTGCCCCCCCCCCTCCCCCCCCCCCTCTCTCACGAAATGGGACCCGCATGAAATCGGGCCATGAGAATGCACTAGCCACTGCTTTGCGCTACAGCTTTTCGGGCTGCATGAAGATCTGCTATACTCATATTCCCTGGTTTCACTTGCCTTTGCTATAGATGTTGCTGGACTTTTCACTATGCAGAGCACAACGGACAAAAGATCATTTACCTCCCCTCCCCCCCCCCCCCCACACACACACACGCCCGCTCTTCCACAGGCTGTGTTCGGCAAGCACTATTGACCACCTGGAAAGTCCCTTCCCTGTTGCTAGTCAGACCCTGCAGTGCTTGTAAGTTGGGTTGCATCACACATGGGACATGCTTCCTCACCTCATAATAGGAGGATAGGGTGTGCATGGCTCAGCGTTGGAAATCGTAATGAATGGCAGTTCTGTATGTGTGTGTGTGTGTGTGTGTGTGTGTGTGTGTGTGTGTGTGTGTGTGTGTGTGTGTGTGTGTGTGTATGTGTCTGTGTGTGTGTCTGTGTGTATCTGTGTCTATTTGTGCGGTGTGTGTACGTTGTCACAGAGTTCACATACATATTGGCTTCAGGAGCTGGCTGCTTTGTCCTGGGCTTATCTCTTTGCCTGATTACATACTGTGTCAGGAGAAGGTGAGTTGACATGGCCGACGGGTATGTTCTGTGCATGCCTCCATTCTGCAGGCACCTGACAGAGTTTTTAGAGTCCTAACTATGTTGACCTGAAGTACTTGTATCAGGTGTGTCAGTTCTGTGTAGGGAAAGTCCCTGGGCAACCGGGGGTGAGCAGGACTGATATTCAGATTTAAAAGCTTCGGAATTTAGTATGCATGGGATGGGTGTTTGCTTCCCACACCGGAGCACGCCGCGGTTTTTCTGCCGACTTGACTGACTCACGACTGCCATCCAGGGCACACGAGAAGTCCATCGAACCGTCGACTCGGCTCAGTCGGCGGGAAGGGTCGAGCTAGGGTGTGGGGCGCAAACGCCTTTTCTACGTAGTCATCGCCAAAGCCACTACCCCTATATCGTAATTCAGTATGAAATAAAACATTTGGAGAAATTGCTCAAATTTACGGGGCATTAATTTAAGAGAATTTTGTCTACAGTCGACCGTGTGTTTTTAGCGTCCTGATGATTTGGGATGCTTTGTGTCACATGCACTCCTGCACGTGCACCCAAACACACACACACACACTCTCTCTCTCTCCCCATCTCTCACGCACACACACACACACACACACACACACACACACACACACACACACACATGTGCACTCGCTTCCATGCACATTGTTCACACACACACACGCGCGCGTGCAGGTGCCGAGCTAGGAAGTATGGCAGCTACAGCACAGTATCCAGCAGCGAGCGACCAGACTCTGAGCCGAGAGCGGAGATGTGCCTGCACCAGCGTCCTGACGGCCTTGGCGTTCATTACGGCGAGCGACTGCCCACGTCGGGGAGCGGAGAGAGACGGCGACAACACACGTACACACGTCCGTTTGGATCGCGCTCACCGGACTCCACGGAACTGGACGTCATCATCCGACCGGGAACCGAGTCCTTCTCACCGTCACCGGACCTCATCGAGACAGCGGCCAGCAGCGACGGTGGAAAGATCGTCTGCTTCCCCGACAAAGCCAGCAGTGCGGGCAACCCATCGTCATCCCTGGAGTGCTCATCGCTAGATGAGGCGCCCGATCAACAGTATTCCAGCGAGGGCAAGTACAGCCAATCCACTGATGGGCAAGGTAAGGGCCGCAACGACAAAGTAGAAATTACAACACATACAAGTACTGTACCGTCTTCTGGTGCAGAGGAAACTTGACTCATTGCGAGTGAGGATTGTCCTGAAATGTACACGGTTTTATTTACAGTCAGCTTCGCTAATAACGACTGCGGATATAACGACAATTCGCGAATAACGACAGAATTTCCATGCCCAGAGCAAAGTCTCATCCAATTGTAATACATATAATGAGACTTCGGGTACCACGACACTTCGCGAATAAGGACACTTTTCTGATGCCCCGCCGAGTGTCGTTATACGCGAAGTTGACTGTATTTCACGGAACAAATGCAATTCAGCAAAGTGTTATCAATACTAGGGCAAGATGTATGGAAAGGCAGGTTCATAACCCAAATTGTTCAATTCAAACTGGGGTTTAAGCTTGAGTTCAGCCAAAATCTGGCTTTCGAAAGCCAGCAGCACTGGACTTCTCAACATGACTAGACTATAGCATTCTACGCCGATAAGCAGTGCTGCCTAATGAAATCCGATTGTGTTAGTCTAGTTTGCACCCCCCCCCCCCCCCCCCCCCAATTCACCTCCTAGTGCTCACATGACTGGGGCTGCTGTAGAGCACCCAGCCCAGGCCCAGTACTTCACTTATGCGGTCGGATTTCATTGAGCAGCACTGTGCACTGTACACTGTGCACTGTGCACAGTGCACAGTGTACAGTACACAGTGTACTGTGCACACAGTGCACTGTGCACAGTGCACTGTGTGCACAGTGCACTGTGCACACAGTGCACTGTGTACTGTGCACACAGTGCACTGTGCACAGTGCACTGTGTACTGTGTACTGTGCACTGTGCACTGTGCCTGAACTCAGGCACTGTTTGATGATACCCACTGGCTACTGCTAGTATAGAAAAAAGAAACAAAAAAGAGAGAGAAAAAATCCCTTGCCTATTTGCCACCCACTCCTTTTGGCCACTATATGGCGAGAAATTGATACTCGAGTATTCATGGTGGAACTCTGCTCATGATTATCTATGGTCGAACCCTAGCAATGAGCGTATATCTGCTTTGCTTGTCCCTAGGTACATGCGTTGGGTTCATCTCACAAACACAGAGTACTCTAGACAGAAGTTCATCTGACACGTACTCGCGGCGCTTGCCAGATGGAAAGCGGATGCAGCCACTGGCAAAACCGCTGAACCTATCACAGCCACCGCAGAAGCAGCAGCAGCCGCGGCAACTTGCTGATCAGCGGCGCGAAACTTACGAGGATATACGGGCGTCACTCGACAAGCAGGGCTCATCTTGCGTAGTTGCTATTGAAATGTCCAGTGTGGAGCAGCAATCACCGAGCAAAGGATCAGCAGCTTGCAATACATACGAGCAAAGACAGCCAGCAGAAGCGCCGACTCACTTGATCACGGTGGGCCCAACGCGTCCCAGCGTCCCACAGCAATCACGACCGGTCATCGCGCGAGCAAGCGACGAGGAACGGCTGGACGGCTGCGACGCCCCGCTGATTTCTCTACGCTCCCCTTCCGATTCTTCTGCGGGCCGTGCGGTGCCTGCTTCGGGCAATGCACTGTACTCAATAGTCCAGCAGCCAGTGAACACAGCTCAGAGCGTAGCAGTGCAACGCCCACTTCAGTCAACACGCACAAGCAGTAGCAGTAGCAGCAATTCCACAGCAAATGGCTACAGAACTGTAGATATAGCCGAGCATCAGAGCCTGCAAGCACAGCAGCGACGAAAACAACAGCAGCAGCAACAGAAACAGCAGCAGCAACAGCGGCAGCAACAACGGCAGCAGCAACAGCAACAACAGCAGCAGCAGCAGCAGCAACAACAACAACAACAACAACAACAACAACAACAACAACAACAACAACAACAACAACAACAACAACAACAACCACAACAGCAGCAGCAGCAGCAGCAGCAGCAGCAACAACAACAACAACAACACATGCCCACCGGACAACGCAGTGGCGTGCCTGATGAATTCCCTGCTGGCAAGCCATCTCAGCCAACATTGAGTCTGTGTAACTACAAGGACTTGCCGTCACTGCAGCACAGCTCTGCAAACATTGCCCTATCGCCTGTCAACTCTCAAGATACTGACCAGCTGCTCCCGGCCGAGGACCTCCTTGCGAGCATACTGGGTGAACCTCGACAGCAGGACTCCCCATCCTCTAGCTCCGACACGGCCAAACTGCAACCCACATTGCCGGTAGTCGGAAACATGACATCGCGACTCGTTGAAAACATCCTGGAAGAACCAAAGCATCAGACAAGAAAAATTACCCCACCATTGCTAAATCCTAGTGCCGATTTTGCAGTGCTGCCGTTGTTAACTTCACAGAGGGATTCACCGATATTAGTACAACGGCCAGTGCCGTCGAAAGACGAGATTGTCGGAAGTGTCCTCGACTCCATTGAGCAGCCGCGAGAGACATCATTTACGCTGGACATCCCGTCATTGCTGCAACAGCCTGTACCCAGCAAAGTTGCAGACCGCCTCGCTGCTGAATGCGACAGAGCTCCCTTGCTGGCAAACTCCTTTGACCTAGACCTGTCGTCATTGTCGCAGCAGGCTGCTCCCGAAGTAGCAAACTCCGGGCCCACTGAATGCACCAGTGTTCCCCAAGTGCCCACCTCCTTCGCCCATGATGTTTCGTCTGTACTAGAGCCGGTACCTCCAGTAGTGGCAAACCATGTATCCCCTGATGTTGGCAGAGGTCCACAGGTGGCGAGCTCCTGTACTTTCGATGTTTCGTCATTACTGGAGCAAGTTGCTCCGAAAGTATCGGACCCTTTGCCGTCCGATGCCGACAAAGCTCCACGAGTGGCAAGTGCATTTACTCATGACGTGTCGTCATTATTGGAGCAGGTTGCTCCGAAAGTATCGGACCCTTTGCCGTCCGATTTCGACAGAGCTCCACGAGTGGCGAGCACATTTGCTCATGACGTGTCGTCATTATTGAAGCCGGTTGCTCCGAAAATAACGGACAGCTTGGCCCCTGATAGCGACAGAGCTCCGCAGGTGGCCAGCTCCTTCGCTTTTGACGTGTCGTCATTATTGGAACAGGTTGCTCCGGAAGTAGCGGACCCTGTGCCCATTGATGTTGACGCAGCTCCACTGGAGGTTGCTGGCAAGCTGCAGACAGCTGGTCACACGCCGGCTACTCTGCCAGTGCTCCTCGCACAGGAGAAGCCACCAGCTACCGATGAGGCGCTGGCTCCAGCGGCAATAGATGTGCACGTGGTGGGAAAGGACAACACCGTCTTTGACCTGCGCTTGCTTGGCGGGTACAGTCCCGGCTCGGAGGACAGCCTGGACGAGGAATCCTGATTGCTGGTCGTGATGGATTCCATGACAACCTTGCCTTATGTAGTGCTAGTAGCCGTGTACAATGATCTGACTGTCTATTCGGTCTGTATCAAGACTGGCTTAGAGTGGTATGTTTTGAGTGCACTGTTCTATACTAAAACGACTTGTCTGGCAAGTTGTCCCCAATTCAAGTCATTAACTGTTTTATTCTCTGGTTCACAATGTTGCCATGGTTACGAGTGCTAGTGTGATATTCAGAACGCATTCAGAAGTTGATGCGTGACTTTTTAAACCCATTCCTTGATTTCCTTTGCTTTACAAGCAAATATTTCTTGAGAGCCGTGTTTTAATTTTTTTAAATATTTTTTAACTAGCATTAAATTAAGTGCCCCAACAGTGGGCTTAACACATCTCTGTATGATATGATATTTGAGATTTGAGATTGCAAGCTACAAGTAGGACGGCCTGCTGGCATTGTCAGAGGTGGAAGGTTGGTGTAAGTTATTGACATGTACTCCTAACCGATTTCTATCACTTGGAAGAGCAACCGTGTCAGTCGGATGCAATGTCATGTGGCAGAGATGTTGGCCTGCTGGCGTTCAGCACTTGCTGGCAGATTTCTAGCACGTCGCTTCCAGTCGTCTAGTATTTGAGAGTGCAGAGCACCGTGCATAAGTTGACACCCGTGTTGTTGTATCACGGTATTTGTGTATGTGTGTGTACGTGATAGGTATGTGTTGTTGGTGCATGCGGGAAAGTCTGTCGCTGTCTGTAGTTTGTAATGTCCGGTTAAGTTTCTGTTGTCTCTTTGCAGTAGTCCTACATGTAGCTAGCTCGTCTGATTGTGGTGATGACATGGGCTAGCTGGGTGCAGCAAGGTTTGGCCTGTTGCCATGGCCACCGTTTACTTCACACTGTATACCATAGATCATGGTTTTGTTTGTTTGAAGTTTTATTTTACATCGCAAACCAAACAGGCATTGATGGTCATGCACACCTGTGGCTAGTTTAGATCAACCAATGATACCACCATCCACCGGGTGCCACTCTGCCGTATTCCCATACACTCCATCTCAACGCGTGTATCGTAAAACAGATTGCGCCCCCTTGCATCACCGGCCACCACACACAAGCACCATAGTTTGCGAATACAAATAATTCAATTGTGAAGAGAGAGGTCTCAACATTGCATTGCAACCACATGTACCATCACGTACCATAACAAGTAGTCCCTCTGTGAGATGATAAGCATGGCAGAAGAGGCAAGTTCATAGCTAGTATGTGCTCACGACGTCACGGCACAGCTCCAGCTCAGTGAAAACGTGAAAATCATAAGAATTATGCAAAACATTGCTCAACACAATCAGCATGCATCGCTACTGAGTTAGGCGAACTTGATCCTACCCCCCCCCCCCCCCCCTTGGCGTGCTACCATGCTTCTACCCAAGCGGATCAACTTTTATCGTACCAGCGGTCTGCAAATACACGGTGAAAAAATACAGACCTGCGCCCTGCACAGAAGGCAAATAGGCGGCATACTATTCAGCTGTTTCAATAGGAAGGCAGGAGCATGATTGTATCCAGATATCGTACACGGCTGTGTTCTGCGCTTTGACGAAGCCCAGTTGCCGCTAAAAAAATACTACACATCAAGCAGTCTCTCAAATTCTTGGATGCAAGGTAATCAGCAGTGCTACTGCTGTGTGTGCACATGTTGACGTGCCGTCGCTACATAGGCTGGTCCACTGATCTCCTGTAGTTGCTGAGGAAGGCGTTCTGCGCCTTCTTGCGCCGCTGGTTCAGCACGTTCTCCAGCTCACTGCCGCCTGCGTTGGCCGCCGACGCCGCCGCTGAGCCGTCGCCAGCGCTATCTCTACTGCCGGCACTGCCTGGACGTCCTATGCCACTCTGTAGTCGGAGGGAAAGTAGAAAGAAAGCAGACCGGCCATTAGAGGATGTTCTTTTGTGCATGACCTGGACAATGTATTTCAGAGTGGAATGAGCTCGGATCCACGCCTCGCATACCTACGCTGGACAAATAGATCGAGTGAATGCCATTAGGTCAAGGTTGTTGGTGATGTGATCCGCTGCATTCTCTTTTTCACCCAAGAGCTACTGACAACACTAACTTTACTCGCAGAACCCGGCCCAGCGGTGCAATTTGGCACCTTGGGCTACCTGTCTGTAGCAATCCTATAGTGACAAGATGCGAGGATGCGAGGATGCGAGGATGTTTTCACTTCAAATGCTGTAGTGGTTTTTTAATGAAAGTGAAGGAAATTATTTAAGTAAAGGAAGGTTCCAAAAACTCCAAACCATACATCTCTAAGTTTGATGCCATGGCAACAAAAACAAGGCCAGCAGGTGTCAATGTAACTGTTACACAGCATGTAAAGAGTATAATCCGGGTCGGCTGACGCCTGTCTTTCATGCGTCACCTTATTAATGCAATCTTACAAGGTCTGTCTTGCTGTTGGATAGTAGAGAATGAAGAGCTGCAGAAAAGCAAAAAAAAACAATATCAGAGAGAGAGAGAGAGAGAGAGAGAGAGAGAGAGAGAGAGAGAGAGAGAGAGAGAGAGAGAGAGAGAGAGAGAGAGAGAGAGAGAGAGAGAGAGAGAGAGAGAGAGAGAGAGAGAGAGAGAGAGAGAGAGAGAGAGAGAGAGAGAGAGAGAGAGAGAGAGAGAGAGAGAGAGAGAGAGAGAGAGAGAGAGAGAGAGAGAGAGAGAGAGAGAGAGAGAGAGAGAGGGAGAGGGAGGGGGGAGAGAGCTTTTAAAATGCTTTTTTGGGAAGGAAACAAGAGCCCAGCATTTAGCGTTTCGTTTGCGGGCAAACTGTATAACTGTTAGACACGCAACATGCCTTGTACGTGCACACCAAGCTCCAGGTTGAGGCTCGGTATCAGCATAAGCAAACACAGAGTACGTGTTCCCCTCCCAAGAGTGCAACAGTACTCCATCTCAACACGGGTTCAACAGACATTGATTGCAGAGGTGATCTACAATGATGAGGAACGCCATGGTTCAAGACGGATCAAGCTCCAGGTTGGTGCAATGCGGCTCAGCGAATGCCCTCGGCGATTGTAACGCGGACGTGCAAACTTTACTCTGTTCTTTTGAACACGTGCATGGTGTACATGAGGTGCAGAACATTGCAGAAAATTAAATCTTACCTGTGGAACTACTGCTTAGTGAGATGCCGCTGTCCTTCTCTGTACTCTGCGACCGTTGCTGCCAGGACTGTCGTTTCTGAGCGATGGACGTGGACGGCGTTGTTTCCAGGAACCCGACCTGGTCTTCTTGACCCATGCCGAGCAGATTCGGCGGAGCCGCCGGCGGTGGAGGTACAGCCGCGGCAAACGATGCCAGATCTGCGTCGTCAGGGTCCGCTGCAGCCTCCGAGATCGGCTCAGTGTGGCCCAGCTGACCCCTGGACGGCTGCGCGGACTCGCCCACGGACGCCAGCGAGGGACGGCGCGTCACCTCGTCCAGGGCGGCGTCCGACGACAGGATGGCGGCTGCCGCGCTGGTGTCAAACGCTGCGCTGCTCTGCCAGGCCACAGCGCCTTCGCTCTCACCTGTGTGTGTGTGTGTGTGTGTGAATTAAAGAACAGCAGTAACAGCCATGCCAAGCTGACACTCGCACATGGGTGTGCATGAAAGAACAGCAGTGGCAACAGGCATACTGATGCACTGCTATCACAGATGCTAACCACGAATCGCTGCAAGAATCCGGTTTTCCTTGTAATCCAAACACTCTTGAAGTGAGCAGGATGTACTGGCATCTCCCCACATCACACCTGCCACTATTTCACATGGTCGTTAGTGGGGCTCAAACGAATATGAATTTCACCTTAGAAAGATGCCGGTAGCCATATTGAATTAAACCTCAGAGTGCAGTCCTTACCACTGGAAACAGCATACTCGCAGTGGAAACTGATACAAACTTCACAAAAACAGGGTCCTTTGGTACATTTTAGATACAAAATCCCCAACGAGTAATACACGTAATGAATAGTTGATCTGTGTAAAGAGAAAAGGACCCACCTTGGTGGACTGTTAGTCTGAACTAGTAACTTATAGGTCCTTTCCTCTCCACATAATACTATTGGCTCAAAATCTGAGTTTTTGAATATTTGATTGTTGGGAATTCACGATCCTTAGTCATAAGACTTACGTTCATCATAGACCATTGTCTCACTGAGGACCTCTGCTTGACCGGACAGCTGCAGTGCCAGTGCTAGTTCCGACACGCCAGTGTCTTCCTCGGGCCTCTTCGCCTTTCCACCGCCGCCAGCACCAGTGTACATCTGCGTAATGGAATCGAGCACACACACACACACACACACACACACACACACACACACGCACACACACACACACACACACACACACACACACACACACACACACACACACGCACACACACACACACGCACACACACACACACACACACACACACACACACACACAGATCAGTAGCCACTTCTTACAGTTTGGCACACTGTGATTAAGACCTGCTCAAGACTCCAACATCAGCACTATATCCGGTAGATAAATCACTATAGACTCTTGCCTATGATCGCCTGTATTGCCATGGTAAGTTAAAACTTTACTGCAATGGTAAGTTAAAACTTTACTGCAATTGTAAGTTAAAACTGTACGCTATGTCACTCAGCAACTACTTCAAATGTGAAGGTACATGTGCATTGAAAGGTTCGGCTGAGAACTAGATTCTCTTTTTCCGAGTGAACTTATGACATCCATCTATTGAGCAGCAGAGAGTTGATACTGGATGATGGACTTACTGCAGCGATATCCCCATCGAGATCAATGGTAGCCTGCAGATCGTCCAGCACCGCAGTCAGATCTCCCGTCTGCATCTTGATGTCGGACTCCCACTGGCCAAGGAACTGCAAGAATACCAAACACACAACGTTAAAAGAACATCGTGTTGATAATCAGATATGGCTCGGGTGTTCAAAGAAGCTCACGGACAAATCTTTCGTAGTTCTATCAATACACCAAAACGGCTATGGATCCACACAAAACCGGGTCTAAGTGGATCCAAAAGTGAGCGTTTCCATGACTCCGGGCTGGATTTAATGTAGCACTGTAAAGCCCAATATCATACGTCAAGCACATGTCGACAAATTTGATATCATTCCTAGACAGTAATACTACCCGTAGACTGATAAATTAAGAACTCAGATGGTGAGCCAAGGAATTTATTTAATTGTATTACATGGAAATTGTGGGCACAAGTTATGCGATCGAGTCCAACCAACTAAACCAGACTTTGAACAGTCAGACGTGCACAATCTTGCGCGAAACTGACAAGGAGTACTGGGACATTCCACAGCATGAAAGTCAGCTGATAAATTAATTGACATTGATTTTCCTCGGGCAAGCACTCACCTCTTCTGTTCTCTCAGCATTGGCTGATTCAGAAGACATCGCCGACTGTCTCTTCTTCTTCTTGGCTTCATCCTTAGACACCTTGCGCTTGCGTACCTCGTTCTCCTTTTGCAGCCGCTCCTCTTCCTTCTTACGTTTCTTCTCGTCGGCTAGGCGCTTTTTCTCCTCTTTGTCGGCCTCCTTCTTTCTCTGCTTTTCTTCTTCCTTGCGTTTCTTCTCATCCAGCTTCTTCTGCTTTTCGGTTTCCTTCTCTTCCAGGACTCTTTGTTTCTTCTCCTTTTCTTCATTGGCTTTCTGCTCGGCCAGCTCTTTCTTCCGCTGTTCCTCGCCCAGTTTCAGGTCCTGTTTGGACTGCTTGCGCTGCATGAGCTCCTGCTGCTTTTTCTTCTGATCCTCTTCCTTCTGCTGACGGCCTTCGCTCTTCTTGCGGCGCACCTCCTCTTCCTTCTGCTCCTTCTTACGCTTCTCTTCGTCCTTCTTGGCACGCTTGGCAGCTTCCCGGATGGCTTTCTCCTCTTCCCGGCGCTCAAGCTCTTCTTCGGCTTTCAACCGTTCTCGCTCGGCCTCTTCCTTCGCCTCTTGTTTCTTCTTCTCCTCACGGCGGACGTCTTCTTCCGTTTCCCTCTTCGGTCCCTGCCGGTTGAGCGATGCAATCTTGTCGAGGTCCAGTGGAGCAGATTCCTCGCTGCCCCAGCGCGCCGAGGCTTTGGACTCCATCTTCTGGTCGAACTCCCAGACACTGGACTGCTGTGCATCCTTGGCGTCCGGGTCTAGTAGCTCTGGTGAGCTGGACGCTCGCTTGATGGAGATCCGTCGTGACACAGGACGCGCCGCATTCCCACCGGCACCCTTGGCCTGCTCGTCACTCTTGGGTGCTCGCTGAACAACGGTGGTGGTACCTGAAGATAAGAGCATATCAAACACACGTGTGCACACACAGACACGGAAAGACATACATGCAAGCGTTAGCATACATTGGTTAAACGCCTCAGTTGTGGCAAGGGCACAGTACCAAATATGGTGCAGATTGATTCAGTCAAAGAGATTACTAGTCTATCCACAGTCCTCATCGCCCAAAAGCAAGGAGGTAAGTTCCTCAGGTAACACCCTGCTATGAACATCCTTCCCAGCTTACCCAACTTCAACAAGGATGCAAACATGCGGAATGGATGGTGGTAAAATCTCAAGACTCTCATGTAGAGGAAGAATCTAGTCACTCAGTACTCTGCACTTTTTCTCAGTCAGGAACAGTTCGATAACAAGGAAGTCAGTCATCCAGGTGCCGCCGAAGAAATTGGATTTCTCTTCCGGCACCTGGATCTTGACTTGATTGTTGGGCCTCGCTAATTTGTGCAATAAAGTGCAGAACACACTACAAGGTCTGTATTTCGTGCGGTGCTGTGCCACAGCAGAAAGTCAGATTTCCTCGGTGACAACTAGATGTGTTGATTATTGAAACCTGAAATGCAGTCCATTTAGCCTTTGAGTTTCGCTTGATGAGTATGCATTCTCCCACGTGTGTGTGTGTGTGTGTATGTGTGTGTGTGTGTGTGTGTGTGTGTGTGTGTGTGTGTGTGTGTGTGTGTGCACTTACTGCCGTCAGTCGTCTCCACGGTTGTACGGTTCTCGCGACTCTTGGCCTTCTCCTTGGTGGTGGCTGCACTACCGCCGCCCAGGCTGAAGTTAGCCACGGCGCGCTGTGCGGCGTTGGCCAGCATGGGCATAATGCTCTTCCTGGGAACAGCCGACACGATGCTCATGCCGATCACCGACGTACACAGAGCCATGGCGATCAGTGTGGAGCCGTGCTGATACGACTGGTCGTCGAGACCGATCATGAAGTCATTGCTGCCCATGAGAAGGGTGCCGGTTGACACCGAGCGGCTTCTGCTGGACTTCATAGGAGAGGCGCCGACTGATCCACGCCGTCCCATCATTCCGTAGTCGCCAACGGATGTAGACGACTGTGATGTGCCGAGGCCCTTAGGCGTCGATGCCGGCCGATTGAAGAGCCAGCGCACAAAGCCGACCTGCTTTGCCGGGCTCAGTTGTTGCTGCTGTTGTTGGCTGGCCATCATGGCTTGCTGTTGTGCCGCGTAGGGGCTGAACGGGGAGAGCGGCACGGCTCCCATTGGCGACTTCTCCAGTGTGTTCATGGCCGTCAGTGAGTGGCTCAGGTGATTAAGGCTCTGACGACGCTGCCGCTGCATCGATGACTCCTTGCTCGGTGTTTGGAATGCACCGCCGACCGTCTGCAACACAACAGAACAAGCAGATCATCAGCCATCCACAATATGAATATGCTCGCTGTATACTAACAGTGACATCATTGTAGTGCAGGAAATGATCGCAGTCACCTATCTGTGCCCATTAGCTCCAATATCGCCACGGAAGCATCTATGCAGACAAGCATAGTTCCGGTTATGACTCCGAGACGGTCTCTGTCAGCTGCAGCTGGGTTGGCCCCACTCAGTGGCACAGCCGCCCTCTCCTGCTTGCCCTGCTTCATAATCAAGTTGCAGGGTTGTGTTTGGGTGCAAAAAGTAGCACAGCATGGACTGCTTCATTATACGTTCACAACAATATCAAAAATACTCTAACAAATGCTCCGTTCGATGTGCATACAAATACCCTGATGTACAAGAGGCAAATTGGCTGAAATTTGGTGAAGAAACCCGTAACCTTCCAGGACCGCCAGAAGCAGGTTTGGATTGGTCCGGTAGTGTCATGGCCGTTCATACTTGGCATATGTTATGCCAGGTACACATGCCCTCCACAGTAGGAAACATGACATGGTCGTGTTGGTGGCCGAAAAGTTGGTCCGGTAATAACCTGACAAATAACCTGACCAACCGGTTCCGGCAGGCCTGCCTTGTGATAGGAATCATAGCATGCAATGTAAGTACTTGTAGGGAATCCGACCAGATGAGTACTCTGCCGAAATAGCATTCACATCCTGAGTATTCTGAATGTTGAGTATACATGCTCATTGGTTCTTGAATAAAGCCCATTCCCAAATTACTACCGTATTTCCCCGTAAGTAAGTTCTCCCCAATGACTTAGTACCCCCCCCCCCCTATAAAAAAATACACTTTCCACTGCCGAGGTTATCACCCCGAAAGATAGTAAGTTCGTACCCGTCCTACATGTACAGACACCGTACAGTACATACATCATATGCACGGACACTAGAGTTGCGCAGGCTTCCCACTGCGTGTCATTTACCCCCGATAAAAAAGTACTCCCCGAAAGACAGTCCCACCCCCGAAAGTTAGTACTCATGTGGCTGCTAAGTTCGAAAGTTAGTACGTACTAACTTACGGGGAAATACGGTAATTTTCTAAAATAGAATGAATTCAACTATCCTGCCCGAGCTTACCGTTCCTGTGTCTTCGTTCTCTTCTTCCTCGTCTTCTTCTAGAAATGTTTCGTTCACGGACGCTAGCGACTTCATGGCAGCCATGGAGTTTGGCGTCACGCCAGTCGCAAACAATGGTAATCGGCCGGAGTCCTTGCGCTGGACCTTGCGTCGCTCCGGCGGTACAATACCGCTGTCACTGGACGCGGCCGAGTCGCTGGGACTTCCTGGTCCAGAGCCGCCCGCCGACTTGGGCGACTTGGTGCGGTTGAAGCCGCCAGGGGACTTCCCTCTGGCGCTGCTGCGCCGTGCGTCCTTGGCAACGGGCATCGGCATGACGGTCTGCGCTAGCATGTAGCCGTATGGCGTCATGACCGGCTGGTACACAGGCATGTACTCATAGTGCGGCACCTGCTGTTGCAGCTTGCGACGCTTGCTGCGCCCTCCGCCACCGCGAGCCTGTCGCTGCTCACCATGGCCGGACGGTGTAGCCGGAGCATTGCCGCTGCCGTCCTCCGACTGCCAAGCAAGACCACCGTTTCCCTCTGCTGGCATAGTGTCCGAATCGGCTGCAATGTTCTTCGCAGCCTCTTCTTCCGCCGCCGGGGAAGTGAACCAGTCGTTGACTTCTTGCGATAGCGGGCCTTTCTCTTCACCGTCTGGTGATGGCCGACTATCGGCATGATCCTGGGATTGTTCCCTATGATGTGATGGCCCGTTCTCCTCCGTCCCCTCTACTGTATCTGCAAGCAGGTCGGGTGGTGGAGCCGGTGGAGCCTCGGGCACAAATGCGGCAGCCGGTCTCAGGTCTTTGAAGCTGGTTTGTCGCATGGGCCGCGTGCGATTGTCTGTTACCGGTGGCCCACTGCCGGCCTCCTTCACCGACGTCAATCGGTGAGCCATCACCTCCTGCTGAGCTGCTTGGATCTCGGCGGTGATGGTCGTCAGTGTCCGTATGCCTTTTCCCGATCCACCAGGGAAGCCGCTGCCTTTGGGAATGATCGGGTGATCGTCACCGTCACCCTCTTCCGTTGTGGAGCGGGGTATGGTCGGATGGATGACATGTGCAGACTGGGACGATGATGACGACCCAGGTTTCTTGGCCATGGCTGGAATGGTGAGGCGTTTGTCCTTGATGTACTTCATGATGTAGTCGCCCATGTCCTCCGCCGCGCACTCCATAGCCAGAGAGTAGGGACTTATACCATCCTGGAGTGCCGGGTCAGTGCAGTAATCACGTCACAACCCATACATGTACACACATACACACATATACATACACACATACACACACCCACACCCACACACACACACACACACACACACACACACACACACACACACACACAGGTGCACACCGCAGGATTCAAACAATGTCGTTGCAATCAATAAGGTATTGCACAGCATGTAAGTTAGGTGCATGGAGGTTCCCGGCAACTGCTCGGCGACGTCACCCAGAACAGGCAAGTCAGAGAGAAAACCCGTCCATTGTGACTGCAACGGGCTCTGTGTGTCTACCAGTCACTTATGAAGGTAATGCATGATCAGAGACTGAGAGTAAAGCATGTGTTTCAAGATCATCCTATCTTGCCAACACTCAGCTTGAACACTTCCTACAGTTTCGATACTTTGCATTCCCGTTTCATGGAATCGTGTGTATTACGGGCACCTAGCTCAAGACCAGCCTAGCTCTGGGCAGTCAGCTGTTCTCCCACAAGACTCTTACCATGTACAGAGAGCACTCCGTACCATTCATTCACTCGTTGACGCATTAGGACTCTGGAGGGTATGTTGGAGAGTTTGGATTAAGTCATTGGCGTATTGTCAACAAACTGACTCAATGACCATCTCGCTAGCAACCCTCCCCCTAGCCTCGTCCCAATGCATATTCTCGACATGCACCGTTCATCGCACATGCAACGCACGAATGGCTAGCGCACAGTGCCAATATGGTATACACAGGTACACATGTACACAGGCCACGCACTCTTACCAGATCGCTTGCAAACAGGTCACCGCCGTGTCTCAGAATAAGCTTCAAGCAATCCAAGTGTCTTCAAGCAGTGACAGCAGCGACACACACACACACACACACACACACACACACACACACACACACACACATTACTAGTTCGTCACAGCAAAACGGGATACAAGACCAGGCCATGACAAAGCTATGCACAGGTGGTTACTGATGAGGGTACTGGAAAAAATGGACAGATCGCCGACATTCATATAGCTAGGTTGCCAAAGCACCATGCGGCCTTAACTGTCTTTGACCTCAAGCCAACTAATTTGTATCTGCAGGGGCGTGCTCGGCCCCCCAACTAGGGGGGTGCACGGGAGCCGAGGGGAGCCCCCCCCCCCCCCCGGCAATTTTCTGCAATTTGTTTGCAACCTTTCTTGAATTTTAGATCATATTTGCATACATTACAATTGCAATTACCCAGATTGAAAATTTTTGGGGGGTGCACGTGCCCCCCGTGCCCATCGCCGAGCACACGCCTGTATCTGTAATTCTCAGTGAGAGAAATCAGTCAAATAGCATTTAGATGCGTATACACTGGGTGCTAAATTCATCTGTAGTAAATCTTAAGATTACCAATGATATGATCTGAAAGACCTACCCGTAGTCAATGGCATCGTGTAATGGCGTGGAGTGCATGCTGTCCTTAACCAGCGCCAGGGAGCTGCCGTTTGGTGTGCTGAAGAACCAGCGCAGCAACCCCACGTGTCCGGCAGCTGCACAAACCAACGAACAATGGAATTGAGAACGGAGAAGCCGTCGATGCTCAGTCCAGTACGAACCAGAGCAAACGCCTTTTTGTGGAGAATGCGAGTGTACCTCATGCTCTCTCTCTCTCTCCCTCTCTCTCTATCTATCTTTCTATCTCTATCTCTCTCACCCCCCCCCCTCGCGCTTGCTCGCTCTTTCCTGCTTTGAAATTCGCTTCCATAGAATTGGGCACCATTGCCCATTTGGCCTTGCGAAGTAACATAAAAATCAACAACAACAAAAGCCTGGAAGATCCCTGTAGATATGTGCCACATACGGCTACCGGCCGCTCTGCCAATTCCCATGGGTCTACCCAAAGAGAACGCTACCCGACATAGCGCGTAGTAATGAATGCAAACCGAGCACAACTAATGTGGTGGCAACTGCAATCCTACCTCAGCTCGGTGCCCTCACACTGCAAAAACGCAGCACACGCTTGTACACTGCCAAATAGAGGCCGCTGGAATCGGTGCTGCGCTCTCAGCACGACAATCAGGGGTCGGATTTCAGTAGCCACCATTGTAGATACTCGTACTTCAGTGTAATGCAGACTCACTCCGCCGATATCTTGAAGTGACTTACCAGCGGCAAAGTGTATTGCCGTAGCACCGTCATCCGTCGTCTCCATCAGCGCCGTTTTACCGATTCTTGCCACCAGCCACTGTACATGCAATATGCATCACAAACATAAAGAGTACATACGATGGGGAGCCCAGTAAGTTTCCGGCCTCCAGTCGCTGTGTATTGTTGTATACTGAAAACCAATGTGAAGGCGACTAATCTGATAAGGCGACCACCTGCCCTAGAGGACCACAAAGTCCAGGACCAAAGGGTGTCAATTCCACTAACATCAGCTTGCAAAAGGGACCGCATTTTTTAGGGGACCATGAATGGTCCGCCTCGACAGGGTTCACTCCACCGTACATGGACAACAAATGTCGGTGACAACAGCATGTGTAATGCCATGCATTCTACAAGCAAACCCAACCCAAAGAGAAGACCAGAGGCTGCCACTGCCAACCAGATTGCTACACTTGACCACACAGACCACCACGTGCCGGGACTGGCGGAAGGAGGTTTGGATTGGTGCGGCCATACGCTAGCCTGTCATACAGTTTGTGTATGATATGGACGGTAGTCACATGACCTCCTCAGCAGTAAACACGCGCTGGTGGTCCAAAAGCTGGTCCGGCCATTGCCTGACCAACCGGACCGGTTCCGCCGGGCCTGCGTGACGGTGCTAGTGTAGATGTTCTGCAAACGGAAGTCTACCGTAGCCATACCACTGGATACGGCATCAGTATTGGTAAAGGCTGCCTGGTAGTGCTCCACGACACAAACATACTACATCCACTGTCACCAAACATATGCTAAAGAAACTGCCCCGACGTAACATAAATATTTCGACTGTCTCACTACACACATTGCCATGGCATTAGTGATGCAAGTCATCAGATGACACCCTCCTGAACAGAGCATTCACAATTACAGAGCCGAATCTCCTTACGTGGACCACTTCCTCGTGTCCGTTCTGAGTAGCGGCGTGCAGTGGTTGCATGCCGTCGGACGTCCTGCCCTTGGGATCTGCGCCACACTCCGTCACCAGGTACTTGATGGCCTCCAGCTGGCCGTCCTGGGCGGCAAAATACACCGGTGTCGCATCTGCGGAACACGCAAACAAAAATAAAATAAGTAATGCAGTGCCATCCAGTACCATCCTCATGTTGCCTGATGATTGCGAAAGCATGAAACTCAGAGTAAGTTAGAAACTAACTAGCCTTGACTCACGCTGCTATCTGGTGTTCACGAGATGTTTGTCGCGCTGGAAACGGAGCGTCTCTGTACGTTTGTATCCCTGGTGATGCTTGTGCCTGGAGAGCAGTATAAAAGTGGTGCTCTGCAGGCACAATCTTCCTCAGCCTACTCGAGCTCAACTGATGAGGGGTGAATTCCCCGAAACACTGTGTATTGAGCAGGGTGTGGTGCTTTCTTGCAGGTTTGCCGAGTGGACGGTTCGATGGACTTCTCGTGTGCTCTGGGTGGCAGTCGTGAGTCAGTCAAGTGAGAATTCAAGTCGGCAGGAAAAGCACGAGCTCCCTTGTAGGGAGCAACACACAATTCCCCACGTATCGCCGAAGTCGCACCAACCTCTTCTTCACAGAAATGCCGGACTATGGATATAGAATACCTCGTCTGTGAAGTCTAGAATTCCATGTCTCTTGGAGGTACATGTACGCTGCTAGATTCATGTAACTTAGTGTTCCCATCACAAGCAGGTCGCTTACTGTTCTCATCCGCCGCGTTTGCTGCATTTGTCCCAATGTGCTCGGCAATGAGCCGCAGGATACCCATCCTCCCTATAATAACATGGACACATGCACACGTACATGCATACACACACACACGCACATACACACATGAACACACATGAACACACATAAACACACACATGCACAAGAGAAAGGTCACATCAGGCGATTCAGGTGGTCAAAGCAGATCTGGTAAACAATGCCAGTGCTGCGGTTGAGGACGATAAGTTCAACATCCAGCCACCATCAGGCTGAGGATAGCTACATATCTCCTCATCCCACCAAGAATGCATTAGATGAGAATGAAACATATACATTGGCTAGCTGGTCAAGTTGACACTGCAGTATCCCCACAGCTTGGCCAATGAACTGTTCTGTCCTATTCCGATCCCCAGCATGTATTTCAGCTGTCGTTCTGGACTCCACCACACCCGTGCTACTTCTAACAAGACCATAAAAGACTGATCATATCAGGTGGAACGTGCAACGATTTCCTCTGCGAGTTACATGCTCCGACTTGGACATGACCTGACCCAGCTAGCAGAGGCCACCCACGAGAAGGCTGTCACATGATCATGGCTCAGGGAGCAGTGCCACACGCTCGCTGACAGCACGCTGCGCCACACGACACCCAGCCGAGCCGCTCTAGTAAAGCTGCATTCTCTCTCGCTCAGACTCACACACGACAGTAGCAAAAGGCGGCCTCGGCCCTGTCAGCTTCTGGCTGCAGCCAGTCGCCCCAGCTCTGACATCACAATCTGAACTAACAGTTCTTCTGCCTGTATGTGTATAGGTGCCGCATGAGCCTGTTAGATTTGCCACATGCGTGTGCTGGAGTTTTCAAAACTATTTCAGTGCAGCACATCTCAGCAAAGGAAATGTTCACTAGTATCATTATGCCGTGGGCGACAGTCATTCGAGCACGAATTCACCGGAAAATATTTCCACCATTCAAATCGAGCAAAGCCTTCCTTCTTTCTCCGGACTCCAACATTTATACAGCAACCCAAGATCAGCTTCCGTTGGGGTGTAACTGCATAGCGTTCATGCAATCGGTGGTACTACCTGTGTGTGACCTGCACATGGTGTGAGGACAGGTCAATTCCCAGTGTGAGTACTAACGAGTCGAAGATCATGAACGTCGAATGCATGCAGTGCATAATAAAATTTCATAATGCCAATGTCGTGCGTTCGTCGTGCTTCATCACACGATACGTGCGCGAATACAGACAATAATTTCGTTCTGGTCTTTGATCCTCCCACCTTCACCTGCCTCTACACTTAGTTTTACTCGCCACATCACGGAGCCACTTTGCGGGCGCTGTAAAAAGTGCAAGAAAACCCCATCGCCTCACACTCGACTCACACAGTCACTTCACACTCCGAGCATAGGCCAGGGTCATCGCACCCGAAACCTTCAGTCTTCATGAGTATCAGTGTTACTGTTAGTGATTCACAGCCCAGCCTTACCTGCTGCCGCGGCGTAGTGCACAGCCAGCGAACCCTTCTCACTCAGGCGTAATCTCTCCGCGCTGAAATTCTCCACGATCCATTGGACGATCTTCTCATTGCCACGAATGATGGCGACATGTAATGGATTTAGACCCTGCAAGTCCTTGTCGGTGACCATCAACGTCCGACGTTGTGGATCGTGTTCCACTATCACCTCGAATCCCTGCAGCCAGCCTTCAAACGCTGCCAGGTGAGCTGCGGTTTCGCCATTCTTCGCGCGCGTCTGCGGGTCGATGCCGCTCTCGGCCAGCAGCCATTTCAGCGCGTCCAGTCGCCTGGCGCGAGCAGCGGCGTGAAGCGGAGTCTCGCCGGTCTCCGGGTCGCTGCCAGCGGACGGTCTCTTGTGCAATGGACCGCCGGCTTTGAACATGCGCTGCAGTTCGGTTACATCTCCGCGGCTGGCGGCATTGCATGCCAGTTTCGTCATTGTTACTGCCCGGTTAGGCACGATCCTGGTATTGCTGCCGAAGCAGTTTGCCTAACTGGTAACCTCCACCATTTGGCACAAGACCAACCAGCAACGAACAGGGAGCAAAGAAAGCTTTTACAAACAACCGACTTCGACAAGCTAGGTAATTTCGACGACACCGTTCTTTCTTGGTGTCCAGTCCAGTGCAACCGGTCCGCGCTTGGAGGATTCTAGTATGCGGGACTGGTAAGTCAGTAAGTGGGAGTGTGGCAATGGTCTACGAGTCCAAGGCGGACTTGGCTGTAGGCATGACCTGATGACAGGGACTGTCGGTTGTGTTCTAACCAACCTCTACTGCCAGATAACGAGTTACGTACAGCGCCCTGGAGAGGGGGAGTGTAGCTTCGACGGTGAACCTTGGTCTTATAGTTAGAGGCACTGCGGAGTTACGAATGCCCCGCCGACCAATGAGCGAATGAGTCACGCAGGCTGCTCTTCTACGCCGGAGAGACAAGACGACTGTCATTGGCGGTGTCAGTGCGTTGACATGCACACCCGCTCATGGATAAGCGCCATACTCATCTTTCACAGTCGAGTCTTCGGTGATGTCTTTCGGACTCTACCATACTGACTGACTGTATCGCAGTGATCCTATGTTTGTGGTGTGAGTTGTGGCAGAAGTCTGAATCCGTATGGCATATCTACAAGTGAAGTCATCTGGTCATTGTAGATACATGCTGCATGCGGGCTCTAGACTATAGCCTTGACTGCTTCAGCCTTTCCAGGTGGCCTGACCTGGTACTGATGCGTTTTCAGCAGGACACCGTGCCCGGCCCAAGTCTACATTGCGTGCTACTCGGTCCGTGTGCCTGCTGACGTCTATGCTGCTCAGAATCAGCTCAAAGACCAGCCATTGACATGGAGGTAAGTGCATTCGTATGGGGCATGTGTGCATGGTGACCATGAGGTTTTGAGATTACGTCATCAGTTGAGATGCTTTGGCGGAGACGCGGACTCGCAGCGCTGCACTTGCACTGGCGACTCGCGTTGCGTACTTAGCGCCCATTTGAAAATCCGCTGACTCACGTGTATACTTAGGGGCCGTCCGTAATTACATGTATTTACTTATAAACTCGGAGGGAGTTGTGGTTGCTCGTGAGCGTGCTCAATACACCAAGGTGCAGAGCCTAGTACACACGCACGCTTTCGATCCCTCTCAAGTGTGTGTATTTACTTATAGACGTCTATAGAGAGGCGTTTCTGGTGGGTGGGTTCGCCTGCAAGGCGTTTCTAAAAAATACATTTTGTGTATGTACTGGTACATGATGTAGCACTGCTACAGCCAGTACGGGTATAGGTGTTGAGACGCACTCAGTCTACGCTGCACTGCACGGGTCACTGCAGAGTGGCCAGGGAGCACAGGGCCTAGGGGGAGACCGTTCGCTAGCTACATGATTATAAAGGGTCAATTTTAATTTTGAATGGGTTCAAGCAGGGACGTGGACAAGGGTTCGTACTAGTAATACACGTTGCTATATCACGAAATTTGCTATAATATGCGAGTTTGTTATAAGTGGAGTCATCTGTACTGTATATGTGTGCATGACGTTGGTATAGTGGTTATTATGAGTGGTATTTTGGCTACTTCGAAGTATTTTCTGCATTTTTGAGCGGCGTTTCTGGGATGGGTGGGTGGGTCAAGAATTCGAAACGCCTCTTAGAAGTCTCAAAGCAAATACATGTGTTTACGGACGGTCCCTTAGCACCCATTGAGAAAATCCGCCATGAAATCATTCACGTCACCTCCATAGGCTCTAACTCTGACAGATAAAATCCGAGCTCACGACTGCAATGTCCCGTAGAGCAGCTCAGAGGACTGGTGCAAGGCCCTTGCAATAGGAACAAGGGAGTAGTACAGTCCTGCTCGATGAAATCCAGTCGCGTCGCTCAAGTTAGCGCCGTGCACCTCTCCGAAGCCCAGTGTTTGCAGGTCTAGGGCCGCGCAACGCCCGGCGTGTTCTTGAGTGACGTGACTGGATTTCATTGAGCAGCACTGTAGTATGGCGAGCATCTGCTATATTATTCATGAGGTTGGATTTTACGTAGCACCACTGTAGCTTCACATGTACATGGAGTGTAACGCTCCAGCCCTCATGAAGCCTATAGCGGTGGCATCCTGTAATTCCAACATGCGTTACTTGAAACACACCGATGCTGAGGTAGTGCATCACGTTTCGTCAATGACAAAGCTCAGTGCAGGATCATTGTGACTGTGGTGTGTGGTGCATGGAGTTCTATGTTGCTGACTGTGCACTGGCATCGCAAACGCCGCAGGCCGTTTGTCGAAAGCTGGGCTGAAATCAATGTATGCGGGAATGTAGTTAAACCCCACGCAGCTACATGTGCCCACTGGCATTGATTGCTAAAATACAAGTTTTCGAGATTGCTTCCACAAATTCCCGCAAAGACAGTCGCGGCCACACATGCACAGAATACCACACCTCCACCAACTTCTACAAGTTACAGCCTCAAACCGGGTAGATGTAAGTAGAATCTACCGTTTTGTGTAGAAAAACGAATACCGGTACATCTACCGAAAGAAGTACAAGTAGTTTCTATCTAAACCAGCCTGGAACCTCTGTCTTATTTTTATTTCTAAACCCGTAGGCGTAGTTAAAAATGCAAAGCCTCCTTGACTTCGACCACAGTGGAATTTCTTGTCAATTTAATTTTCGAATGGTTATCTAACTTATCTTGCCAGTGTACATGTAGACGAGTGCAGGTCTCTCCAAGACTGTTCACTCCCATTCAGTTCATGATGACAAAGGGATCCTACGCGCAAACTCTATTGTCATAATCCTGTCCCCCGTGAATTCCGCGATGCCGCGGATTGCAGAATTTCCGCAGGATCCAGTGGTGTCCGCTGAATTCAAAAAGCCCCGCAGAATATTGCAGAAAAGAGAGAGAACCTGCTTTTTCTGGAGACTTTTGATGTATTTCACAGCCTAACCAACCTGCTTGTGACTTTCAAAATCAACTTGCACGATTGGAGCTTTGGAGATTTGGAGCTTTCAATTTTTTCTTCAGGCCTACAAGTGCAGTAGAGTCGCGCGCCCAAGAACGTTGTTTCCAAGGGGTGAGCCTGGGACGTTCTTATTTTTCAGCAATCTGGCTGCGTTCTCATAGCACGTTCTTAGAAACAATCCGTACTGGATCATATGTATCCCACAAGCAGCCAGAAAACCAACACCGCCGTTCTTAGCTTTAGGCTGTGGCGTTCTTAGAATGTCAGGCTGGACGTCACGAGTTCTTGGGCTCCACGTTCTTCAGCGCGCGACTCTACTGTAGTGTGAAAACTTGCAGAAAGCGCCGCAGATTTTTGATTTTACTGCAGAAAATGACGGAGAATTCCCCCCCCCCCCCCCCCCCCCAGGCCCTGGCGGATAATGCCGGCAGAATTCCGAGCAGAATATGGGTTATATTCAGAAAGTCTTGCCGAAAAAGCGAGTCCATACGCCGGCGTGCTGTGCGCACACGGATATTATCCAACTGCATGCCCTATGTTGCCCTCTGCACGTGCGCTTTGCTACAAGTGCGAACCAGGGAGTAATAAAATACCGGTAATTAACTACTCCCTGGTGCGAACCCTTTAACCTTGCTTCCGTGCCGCGCGGACAGTTCAGGTTTCTGTGCCTTATTCTAATGTCTTCGCTTGTCCAGGCTTATGAAATAAACAGCAAACAGTCCTTGTGTTTTCGGGCAGAATCCGGCAGAATACGAGTAGAATGGGGCAGAATACGAGCAGAATGTCGAGCAGAAAACGCTACTTTTCCAAGCATTATCCGCCAGGGCCGACCCCCCTCCCCCCCCCCCCTTTCCCCGTGGAATTTTGAATTCTTGGCCACGTTTTTCCAAAGGGACAGGCTGCGTTCTTAAATCCTCTCGGAAAAGTAGGAGACTCTCGGAAAAGCTGTTCTTATATCCTCTCCGAATTTTAGGAGGCTCGCCAAGCTTCAGAGGTGGTTGAAACTTGGAGATTCCGGCGGTTTGGGATCAGCGCATGCGAACTACAGCTAGAAGCATGTGTTTATGATGAGTGTACGCATTTCCCTTTTTGCATACGCACAGTGTGTGTGTACTACATTTGTGGCACTCAAGATCACGGCCCCTTTGGTGCTTCATATTGCCTAACATGTGCAAAATATCTCCGAATTCTTCGAGACCCGTGCTTGCATTATACCACTTTCTTCAACTTCTCTTTTCTTCTTCTCCGAGAAGCTAGAGAATAATAATAAGATCACACCCTTAGGGAAGGGTTTGCAGAGTTTACTGTTTTCAGCCGCAGAATTCTCCACGGAATTTCTCATATACATGTACCGTAAAATCCCGCCCCTCCCAGAGTTCTTGTCAGGGAAGTGATTCTTGTATGTATCCTCGTATAAATGTGATGCCGTACTGTACTGCAGACACGTCCTCGACCCCGTTGGAAATGTACGCAACAGTGCCCACCCTCTTGATCAGGTGTACGAACAATTTTCAGAGTGACCACTTTTCCATGTAGTACTGAATGCATGCGGTAAGTAGGACTAACCTATCCGCCCCTCCCCACCTGGACCTACTCGGAGGGTGGCGGAGGTAGGGGCGCTCTGGCGGGATCCCCCCCCCCCCCCCCCCCCCCCGTTATGCTACTTATTCAATATCGCAAAAGTGGAGAACCCCTCGATAGGCTACCTGCCTCTGGGTCATCCCTCAAATAAAGATACAGTAATGGAGAGGTTCCGCACTACGTCAAGTTGAGAAACTTTACGTTAGTGGGCGGGAAAAACCCGTGAATTCGCGAGTTTGCACTCCACTTACGGAAAGTTGTCTACGTAGAGTACGTAGATAGGGCTCTGATAACGTAGCTGGTCTGTAAGTGGATTGGGGTACACATTTATGACTCTCTCCCCATGTCGATCTGGTCGTACACTGCCGCGTTCGGAGTTGCCAAGGGCAGCTACGTGATTTGAAAACTCCGTATGGCGGAACCCAGATGCGCATGCAGTTTACGTAAGACTTTCCGTCGATCGACTACATTTTTTACTAACGTAATATGCGGAACCTCTATTACCGTACTTCCGCACATATAAGCGCATGTGCTTATGTCCGGACATAAGCACACCCCCCCCCCCCCCAATTATAAGCGCATGCGCTTATATGTGAACACTATTGGTGAAACACCCGGGAGCTGAATATACTGCTAAGCATTGTGATAACATAGTTGTTTAGAACACAGACAAACCTTTGTGGCACATATAAGCGCATGGGCTTCTACGCGAACATGTTCACACAGCAAAATCTTTTTTGTAGCAAATTTTCACTTATAAGCCCATGCGTATGCGCTTATATGTGGGGAAGTACGGTAATAATAATTCTGTCCCTCCAGGAACTTGCGATTCCGCGGCTGCGTTGTTTTCCGCGATTTGAACACAAGTCTGCGCGATATTTCGAAAAGCAACAGCGATATTCGAGTCGTTCTTCGATGTTGTTTACTTCTGCTTCAAGCTAGTCAGTAGTTTACTTGTGAGATCGACACCAGAATGGAGAAGTCACAAAATAATGCTCGCGAGTGTTGTCCGAGGATGAAGGAAAGCTGTCTTGCAAGCTCCTGTCAGGCAGTTGAACACAGTCGCAATTGAGTACAGTGCAGCACACGTTCTGTTTTGTCATGCATGATTTATGCTGTACGACTCGTGCACCGTATCCCATCACAGTACAAGTACCAAAATCGGCCGCAATTAATATTTTACCACAATAATCCCGCGATTTGTGGCATTGCCTCGCAACTTCCGAAATGTATCTCCAAGTTTCTGGAGGGACAAGGGATTGTACGGTATATCCAGCCGCGGAATTCACAGGGGACAGCACTGCGATACAAGGAGGGTGAAAAACTTGCAGTAAGTGCCCTATAGTACTGTAGCGGACATGGAAATCCAGTCGATTGACCGGGGCCGGCGCCCTCAGAACGCAGCGTGAGTGCACACGTTGATTAGATCCGATGCGACCAGCGCGCGCTGCAGCGCATAAATGCATGTGTGTAGCCACGGCTGCATGGCCATCGCCAAGAGTACGAGCATAACCCCCCAGAGTGTGCAACTCCACTATGGGTGCTGTCCCGACAGAATTTCAAGTTGACGTCATTTTGATGATGCAATGCGCACTTTACACGGATTATCAGACGAATCCGGAACCTGTGGTTGACCGAAGCCGATCGATCCTGTACAAATTATTGCAAAGAAAAACGTGTGATGCGTTGACACCCGTACACATGTTGTAAATCACTGGTGCAAGGAGCATTGCGTCATCAATAATGACGTCAACTTGAAATTCTGTCGGGACAGCAGGGTATGTGGGAGTTGCACACTCTGGGGGGTTATGTACTCTTGCCATCGCCCTGGGGCCGCTAGATGTGCGACCGGACTTCCATGTCCACGACAGTAGATTGCTGATTTTGCTGCAGAAAACGCTGTTGATTATCCCCCTTTTCCCTGCAAAACTTAATGTGGATTTTTCAGCATTCTGGTAATGATCTTTTCCGGTTTTTCCAAAGGGCCATCAGTACTTACTACGTGAGAAGAGGGCATTGAAATCCATGCAGCAGTTTGCATACTGTGGGGTTTTACACTCATGGGCTTTTGTTTGCAAACTGTGGTTTTTGTACACTCACGGGTTTTTTTTTGCAAACTGTGGGTTTTTATACACTCATGCCATGCAACTACTGGTATGTTTCTCATGCCTCGACCACACAATAGCTTTGGTTTGCACCCCCTCTTGGATCAGAGACACACGCAATGCTTGGAACGGACGCAATGGGACGACTACAAACCATACCCCACCCACAATAATTAGCCACAGGCCAAGTGTTCCACACTTCATCATCACAAGTAAGATTATGAAAGGCCAACATTTTATTGTTGTTCGTACTTCATCCAACTCTTAGTCGAAAAGACCGAAACCCATGTCGTCGTCGGACTCCTCCTCGGGCTCTGGCTCAGCAGCCTTGGTCTCAGCAGCAGCTGCTGGGGCAGCGGCAGAAGCAGCTGGGGCCGCAACAGCGAAAGCCGATGGATCAGCCAAGTAGGCCTTCATCTGTATAAAACAGAATAATAAACCACAAGATTAGGCAAGAGAATGTAGGAGAGGATTGTACATAAACAGAACACCAGTTTATAGAGAATGACACAAACAAAAGGGCTCCATCTTGAAAGCAAACAGAATAGATGTCAATTGCATGGTTTATCTCAACTGTAATGGCCACAGAGTGACTACAGAAAGATCACAGAATATGCAGCGGGTCTCAAATCGTCTGCATGCAGCAACACCAAAGCAGCTGTACGAGACTGAAACGCGACCTTTCTGTACGACAACATGGAAGGGGAGACACCTCACAAGCACCAAAAGGTTCGGTTCCCAACGCCACATGAACAGAGCCTACAGGCTGCGAAACCCGAGGATGTTCTTGTCGATTACAAAAACGCACTCTACAACCAATATCTACACTACAAAGAAACTGTAGAATATAGAAAAATGCTTACCTTCTCAGCCTCCTTGAAGGTGATGTCAGTCTCAGCAGCAACAGCCAACAGGTTCTTGAAGCCATTGACAATAGAGTGAGGCACGGAGGCAACAGTTGGGTAGCCAATCTCCAAAGAAGTGGCAGCGACATTGCTCACACCCTGAAAAGGAAGAATTCGACAAGACAAGAGTCAATATTATGCATGCATAGACTATCAGCCATAATGCACACCACAGCAGCAGTTTTACAAAGGCTTTGATCATAGGCTAAACATATACACTGACTAGCTACTGAGCATAGACTTAGGCTGATGGCAAAACAAGTGTCAATTGCATGGTTTATCTCAACTGTAATGGTCACGGAGTGACTGCAGAGAGATCACAGAATATGCAGCGGCTCTCAAATCGTCTGCAAGCACTGCATCATCTAAGCACAAGGCTTCAATGAACGGGTGAAAGAGACTGAAACAAGAGCTTTCTCTACGACGACATGGAAGGGGAAACACCTCAGATGCCCAAGAGGACTCAGTTCCCAACGCCATATGAACAGAGCCTACAGGTGGCAAGACCCAAGGATATTCTCGTCGAACATGTACAGACAAACAAAAGCAATAGAACAAATCGAGATGATACACGTGGCTTTGACGAACACACAAATGAAATGTTATCATCGTAACTTACAGACATGAAGGACTTCAGCAGCTGGTCATCATTGATGTCCAGAATGCTGGGGTCATAGACGGAACCGTTGTCGAACACTGGAATAAGAAAGAAGAGAATGCGACTGTTAGGTACAATGTGGGATTACATGTACACTGCACATATACATGGTATAGCCTGCTGGGTGCATTCAGGGAATTGCCAACAAGCAGTAACCTGAACTACATGTAGGACAACCACAAGGGAGCACACAGTACTAAATGAAAAGGAACAGGAATACCCTACCCAGTGCCCTACTGCAAGAGCTGACAATCACATACAACAGAAGTAACAGTGTAAGCATAACAAATGAAACTTACCCATCAGGATACGGAGACCATAGCTGAAGGGAGAGATCTTCAACATGTTCAGAAGAGTGGCTTCTGAAGCTCCGACACGCTCATCAGCCTTGATGAGATGCACGTCATTCTGCAGAAAGGCACAAAGGAGAGCAGGAGTTCATTAAAACTCAAATCTAAGAACTGTAATACAATACATGAATGGACGGCATAGTTCCAGAAGATCAATATAAATAAATGCCATTGCGCTAGTTAGTTCACCCGGATAGTTCACAAAAGGGTTTAAGACACAATAATGAACATGGTGAAGTTGACAGCCCAGCTTACCAAGATTTCAATGCAACCACGGGCAATCTTGGTGGTGATGGACAAAGCCTGGAAGAAAGATGTCTTCTCGGGACCGAGGGGGGTGACACCCTTGGGCACAAACACATCGATGGGGGCGAGAGCACCAGCCTTGGCAGGGGCCGCAACCTTGTTGGAGAGAATCTTCTCACGGACATCGGAAAGGTTCTCCTTGCAGAAAACGAAACCAACGTTTTGCCTGATGTGGGGCAGAAGCCTGCATGACAGAAGTAGACACAATAGATGGTTAGGGTATGCACCAACTTAGGAAGCGATAAAAAAAGGCTACACTAAAAAAATCTTCTGCAACAAAAAAGCATCCTCAGCACAATACACAGCAAGTAAGGATGTCAGAAGAACACACAGGTGAGGGAATAATTTAACCGGTATCGCATCGCAGTTTGCTATGCAACTCTTCTGAGGTGATAAGCAACTGCAGATGTGTCGCAGAAAACTGCGATGCATGTTGATTTTTCACTGTACCCTATGATGCACTGTGTACATGCCGGGTGTATCACTTAGGGATGAAATAGATGCACGAAGCTTCGAAAGTGCCAAGCTATGCATCCTGGCACCAGGCTAGATTTGCAACAAAGGTGTTACAGTGTACTTGTGTTCTGAGCTTGCACTCTGATCAGCTCTCCAGAATGACAATGTTGTCAAGTGTTTAAGAAAATTGCTTTGTGTAGCAAAATTGCTATGCAAACGATTGAAGTTATTCCCTGAAGGTAGTGGGTACATGTAGTACACAAGGTGTTAGAATACTACACAGGCTAACACTTGCTTCTAATATCGCAAAGAGGCATATAAATACTGCATGTAGTGCACCTACTTCTCGAGGGAGGGGTTGCTCTCAAGATGTCCACGGATGGCCTTGCGGATCATGGTGTTCTTTCCCATGAGTACAACTGCAGGAACGGCACACGCAAATAGTAAGATTAGACCGACGGGCATATTACACAAACAACTTGTGGACGGGGAAAACACCAAAAAGAAGAAATCAAATGATGAAGACACACTAAGGCACTGCCCTCGAGACTCCGCGAGAAGAAAATTGAATTAGTATAGAACATGCGGTGCGGGCTTCGTACTAAACAGACGAGGAGGGTGGAATGAACACCCGGATCGGCATGACGCAACGCAGCGGACCATGCATACAATAATATTTAATCTATTGATGGACCCAGACATGGAATAGCCATACAATGTATGTCATGCAGAGCAGAGTCCTCCGGTTCAATAGAGTGCTCAATGCGGAAGCAGAGCAGTAACACACAAGTCACAGAGTACCACACGTCTGGATTGCTGTAACTAATAGCTACAACAATCCAGACGCGTGGTACTCTGTGACTCGGGCAATGTACGTCATATAAAAATCCCCGCCACCAGTGCACCTAGCACCTACCGGCAGAGCCACGGAGGGCAATACGGATCTGCTGCATCTGCTTGGATCCGACATTGTCGACGTTGACGATGAATGCCTTGGGGTACTCGTTCAACAGTTGCTGTACAGAAAGACACGACAGGAGAAAATCCAATTACAGTACGACTTAACATCCCTAATGCCATTTACCAAAAATTAATATATTTTCCATGTTGTATCCACACGCAACAGTCTGGAATGAAACAGCAAATAAATTGGCCCTGCAGTCTAAATCGGAGAAAAACAGAGGGCTGCGGCCCGCCTCCATGAAATGCAACTTCGCCTGACAGAGCATGTTCATTGCGATGTGACATAGGCCCACGCGTTCAAATTGGGTTGAAAGCAGAGAGACATGCGACCTGGGATAATGGTGAAGTCATAGAGGCTATGCACGCACGCACGCATCACCTGCCAGAACAGGTAGAGCAATCACGGCTGGGATACCAAACTTACAGTGAGTTTGACGAAGTAGTTGGCCTTCCAGGTGGCCTTGTCTTCCTTGCCCATATTCGATTGATTGGTGCAGGGATGGAGTTTTAAAGACAAGACCTACGAGACGATGATCAAGAAAAAGAAGGAACAACAACAACGACAAACAATGAACTCAAACCTAAGTCATGCGGAGTGAGCCGAAATCCTACGTAAGCCATCATCTCTGTGGAATCAGCCAGCATTACATGGACTATTGTAAAGTGACCAAGAACACCAAGAAGAAGAGGAAGAAGAGGAACTTACGTTATCAGACAGAGACTAAATTCTCTGAAATGCTTCGAAGCCGTGAAGACTTGAAAGAGAAAGAACGCCAGGAGACGCGTTTCTTTTGCCGGTTTCGCAAAAAAATCGATCTCCTACTTTTGTACGATCGTACGATCCCATGTCGACACGTACGTACATCACATGTTGCGAATGCATGTGAAATCTTTTTCTTGCGTCATCAAACTGAAATCATGATCAGGGAGTCGGATTTTTACGACTTCCTGATCCAAGGCTAGACTTCGAGTACAGTCTACGAGTCAGTACGATTGACAGCATGAAACAAGGTGAAGGACACTGTGTTCGAAAACAGTGGCCTTATTACTATAAGTATAAGTATAACCTTCCGCGGTTGGCAGAGCCCCGGTCCCTGCGGACCATTTGAACCATGGGTGTTGAACCCAGTTCTGACCCTCATTATGCTAGGGGAGTTTCAGGAGTTTTCGACTTCTCCTTACGTCCGTCACGCCGCACGCGAGTCATGTATTCTTTGAAACTCCCCTAGCACATGATAATGAGGGTCAGAACCGGGTTTAACACCCATATGGTTCAAATCATGGTCCGCAGGGACCGGAGCTCTGCCAACAGTGGATGGCTGTAGTAAGGCCACTGTTTTCGAATACAGTGTCCTCCACCTTGTTTCATGTCAATCTAACAATACTCAGCTGGCTAGTGCATGAACTATAACAAGGCTTATCTAATACTGGTTCTGAACCAGTATTGGGTTATACAATGAGTCAGTACTGGAGTACAACAAAACAGAGTACTAGAGTGCGGACTGTAGTGTAGAATATTGTAGTAAACACTATTTACGGTTATAAATACACTGTTTATGTCACAGCCGTGTGTCATGCAGTAATGCACTTGAAGTAATTGAGTCTTGATGACAATCATGACTGCTCAGTATCAAACTGGGCACAGCTGTATCACATAACATGCACAATCATGGTGAAGCACTTCTATAGATACATGTACATGTGACGTAATAGGGCTTGAAAGTGATGACGTCAAAACGGCCAGGGAGTAGTAAGTTGACATCAGATTTCTATTTTTGGATCCACTAAGGTGTGACTTTGCTATTGCCTAAGTATGTGGGTGCATAGCAACCAACTCATGTCGCATGCAGGTGTGACTTTTATTTCGCCACCAGTTGTAACCCCGCCCCCAGTAGCCAAATCAGTCAGTTTCACTGGTTACATCACCTTGCTGAGAGTAAGACGGCTTGAAATGTGCTTGGATCCATACAAAAACTGGATCCAGGTGGATCCAATTTTTGAATTTTTGAAATTGTTGCTATGCTGTGACGTAGCACTTTCAAGCCCTATTGTAATCTCAGCTGAGTTCTACAGGTCATGTATTCGATTGGCCTGTGGGGATTGCTCTATTCAAAATTTAAATAATAATACTTCGAAGTAATAATTATTATTATTCCCGTAGCTATGCAGAAGACGTTACTTCAGTAACGTCTAGCGCTAGCCAGGGTCGACACAGCTTTAATTTGGTATTTGTGTGTTTGTGTGTTTGTGTCACGCCTGGCGCTATCCCGTATCTGTCCCGTACCGTACCGTACCATCAAACACAGCTGGCCACATACAGCTGGCCGCAATATTCAAATAGGGCTTTCAAACGCAAGATCATAACGTGAAGCAACTTGGAAGAATGGGTATGAAATTATGAATGCGAAGTGTATGGGGGAATGCATGTAGGGCGTTAGTGCGGGTTCGAATCCCAGGATATGCCTGAAAAAATAGGAGAATTGAAAAATTTATAACATCCCTATGCTTTTTTTGGCGTCATCAAGGCGGTAGACGGTGTCGTATTACCCTCGATCGTACCTATCCCGTACCGTACCGTACCATCAAAGACGGCTGGCCACAATGCATATTCAAATAGGGCTTTCAAATGCAAGATCATAACGTGAAGCAACTTGGAAGAATTAGTATGTATGCGAAGTGTATCGGGGGATGCATGCAGGGCGCGCGATAGTGCGGGTTCGAATCCCAGGTTATGTCTTAAAAAAAGGAATTTTTTAAAGAATTTATAACATCCCTATGCTTTCTTTTGTCTAGGTCATCAAGGCAAAAAAGCATAGCGTAGGGCCCTGAGCTTCCAAGCTCTCTCGTTATTATTATTTACTATGACTCAAGAGTGGCACCGGAAGAAACTACGTACCATCATTGGTATCACGTACCCACAACGAATCTCGAACACAGCGCTGTATGCCAGAACCGAGCAGACCCCACTATCCCAAGTCTGCAGGCAACGGAGACTGCTGTGGTTCGGCCATGTAGTGAGGGAAGGCGAAGAATCGTCCTCTTTCCAAGCCCTCCTAATGTCGATCAACACAACAGACATACGACGACCCCGAGGACGGCCACGTCTGAGATGGATCGACGTTGTCAAGAAAGACTTACAATGCATTAATCTGTCGCTTCTGGATGCTGTGCAATCTGCTTCTGATAGAGCTGCTTGGCTCGAAATTGTTAACAGATGCGTTGACCTCATGCAATGAGTGAAATGCGAACTGTCATTATTATTATTATTATTATTATTAAGAGTACATACCAGTAATTAGTAACCGTTCACCCACAGCCCCAAGTAATCTTGACTTTTCCACCAACAGTCCGTCTCTTCATAGTGCATACTTACATGTATTACACGCGGAGTGTACGTGTGAGAAGCTCAATCTTGGCAGAATTTGCTACTGTGACTCAGTTCAAGTTTTCAGTACATTCAACGGTATGACGGTTCCATGCATATTTGGTATGCGAATAAAGAAGTGGAGCAAATTGTAAGGAAGTGCCTGGCGTAGGGTTTGTATGCCTTGTGTGGCTTCTGCCTATTTCACTCACGGCTTTTTGAGCAGAATCTGCCAATTTTCGAGCATTATCCGTGACTAGCTCAAATTGAACTTCCGAGTCACGGTATCGACGTAACATCTTGCCGGAGCATTTCAGTAAGACTGGTGTACGCATGACCACCAGGTTGTATCATCCTTCTCAGGACCGGACACTCACGACAAATACTATAGTCATACAGTACTCGAAGTACATGGACTTGTAACGACGCAGTATTGTTAAACTGTCTCAGTCCGTGACATAGCCACGGGTAGTGCAGCAATAAAGCAACGGTCACGGTATCAGGGCCGCCGGCACGGAGAGGATGACCGGGTAACAGCGTGAGACTAGGGAGTCGGGAGACGACAAGAGACCCTACCCGACCCTAGCCAAAATGATGTGCGTTTCAACTTCCAGCCCCGGATTTGGAAGTTCTACGTAATTTGTTGCCGGCCTATGCAACCGAGTCGTGATCTCGTGCATGGCCTTCACTGAGTGGCCAGGAAGTCGTCAAATAGGACTCCCTGGTCTTGACCTGCTGCCGGACCCCAGGGCTTGCATCAGCTACCCTGTTCATAGTGACAGTCGTCCCTCTCTAATCCAGCACTTTATAAACCAGCACCTTCGATAAACCAGCACAATTTTCAGTAGCCAAAATGTCCCCTTTATGCACATTGCAAGAGTACATCAGATTTGTTAATCCAGCACCATCCCTAATCCAGCAGATTTTCTGGGGCACAAATGGTGCCGGATTATAGAGGGGACCACTGTAGTACCTCTCTCTCTCTCTCTCTCTCTCTCTCTCTCTCTCTCTCTCTCTCTCTCTCTCTCTCTCTCTCTCTCTCTCTCTCTCTCTCTCTCTCTCTCCTCCTCCTCCTCCCCCCCCCCCTCTCCGGCGCCTTTTGCAACGGCACTGATGATTTTTTCTGCTGGATAACAGTTAAACAAGGGTGCTGACTTATCAAATCTTGCCCTCCAACCCGGCCCAACTGCTAACATACATCTTTGTCGTACGTCAAAACGCAGGGATTCACTGTGTCAATCCAAGCATTTTGTTGAATGCATGTCTATACCGTGCATAGGTACCACCTACTCCGAACTCAGCCGGATTGGGCCAATCGATCACGCTCACCTGGAGTGCACTTGCTCGGGATTCGCCCAATCGATCATGCCCTAAGTGTGCCGATCCCCCGGAACCGGTGTGGTTGGTCGGGCCATCACCACACCAGTAGGGATCTCAGCGCGTGAACTGCGCAGCCAGTCTGCGCAGGTGAGATTTTCGATCCCAAACGCGTCCAGTGCAGAAATCGTGGAAAAGAACATTTTTTTCGAAATAAATCAAGTCGAAGAAGACAGTAGAAATGGCTGAATATTGCGTCCAGGAAAGCACGTTCTACGGCCATCTCCAAGCTACCTATCTCCCAGACACTCTCTCAGAGGAACTATGGAGGGTCAAAGAGCACAATCTTTCACTCTTGGACGCAGCGTGAACACCTCTTCTACTGAGCGCGATGTCTTCTCTCCGAGTGATAATGGCGGCGATGTTCGCGATGGCTGATGCACTGAAAATCGAAGTTAGGACAATCTAACCGGAGAAAACGTCTGAATTTTTGACTGAATCCTCTCTGAAGTGGGTTCTTGCCGCATGGAAAATTATAGGAAAATCGACCGGGGCAATATCGCCGCGGCCACGCTGTCCTTCGGCGGGAATTACAAAGTATGTTCGAACGACGATGAAGATGACGATTCCGCTAGTGTCCACCGCGTCCCCTAGTGTCGAAAATCGACCGTCGCCATTTTTCTGCTGTGTCCGCGAGCTGCACTCAAAACTCGATGACGCAATGTATGCGCAAACACCCTGCGCACTGCACGCGCTGAGATCCCTAACACCAGACCAACTTTCAAATGATGTTGGCCACCAATGCATACTTAGTAATTCACTGTTGTACCAAGAGTACAGAAACCAGTTTGTGTACTCACAGAAACCAGTTTATGTACCGTAAAGTACCGCCAGAGCGCCCCACCATCTCGTCCTTTCGTGGTCGCCTTGTGGAGGTGGATTCCTGTCTGTAGGTCATACGACACGGACCTTGTACAAACATTGCACATTGTGCAGTCAATCCGTACCCAGTTTACCTTCGAGCTCTACATAAAAGCATACCAAGTGTGACCTTAGTACACGAAGGTTCTCACATCGTACAAATTTAGTAGCATTCTGCCATACGATTTTCTTCCCTTGGCTGT